CTTCCATTTCCTAATAATTGCTCCCACAGTTGATTTCTTCAAACCAAGCTGCTTACCTATTGCAGATTCAGTCTTCCCAGCCTGGTGCAGGTCTACAATTTTGTTTCTGGTGTCCTTTGACAGCTCTTTGGTCTTGGCCATAGTGGAGTTTGGAGTGTGACTGTTTGAGGTTGTGGACAGGTGTCTTTTATACTGATAACAAGTTCAAACAGGTGCCATTAATACAGGTAACGAGTGGAGGACAGAGGAGCCTCTTAAAGAAGTTGTCACAGGTCTTTGAAAGCCAGAAATCTTGCTTGTTTGTAGGTGACCAAATACTTATTTTCCACCATAATTTGCAAATCAATTCATTAAAAATCCTACAATGTCATTTTCTGGATTTTTTTTCCTCAATTTGTCTGTCATAGTTGACGTGTACCTATGATGAAAATTACAGGCCTCTCTCATCTTTTTAAGTGGGAGAACTTGCACAACTGGTGGCTTACTAAATACTTTTTTTCCCCACTGTACCTGTCTAACAGAAAACAGAGGGTGTTCTTTAATGGAAGCCTCCAACAAAATCCAGTTAGAATTAGGAATTCCCCAGGGCAGCTGTCTAGGCCCCTTACTTTTTTCAATCTTTACTAACGACATGCCAAAGCCAGTGTGTCTATGTATGTGGATGACTCAACACTCAAAGTGGAGGAGAGATTGACTTAATCACTACTTGTATTTGTGAGAGGTATTGACATGTTGAATGCATCGAGCTGTCGGTTTGAACTACTGGTACACAGCTCGGACACCCATGCATACCCCACAAGACATGCCACCAGAGGTCTCATCACAGTCCCCAAGTCCAGAACAGACTATGGGAGGCGCACAGTATAGGACAAATGCTGTGCCCTTAGTTGTAGGCCATAATGTATGCATTATGATTAACCTAATACTATGTTTCCAATTTAACTTATTCACAAAGGTTCAAATGTGGATCATGCTCAATAGTATCTACTACACTTTCCTCCATACAATGCAGCACTGCCGGGAAACCACAAAAGGGCCTGTCATGCCAAATAATGTCCCCCGGCCAAAAAGTGTCTCCCTCTGCGTCACAATGGGATTCGATAAACTATTAGTGTCCGATGCTATATCAACAGTGTGATGACCTAATGATTCGAATTTTGGAGATTATTACAGCCTAAATGACGTTCTTTTCATCATCGCTATGCAAACAAGGCTGATTTCCGCAACAATTTCTCTATTTAAACAAGTTTTGTTTAGCTAATATAATGAAAACATTACTTGGAACTACTATTGGGCTTCACCGACGTGGAGGGTGTCAGTGCTTTCAGTGGTCGACCATCCAACTGCTCCAACTGGAGAAGATTGTTGGCTTCCACCGAGGTAACCCTAGGAAGACAAAGATAAAAATATTAGTGTTAGGAAAACTACAACTAGCTTCAGGTTATTTTGTGTGCAATCTGAGATGTTTTATATTCACCTTAACAGATGGTGACCCCAGCTAGGAGCGAAAGAACAGCGAAGTTTCCCAGGTTTCGCCTTCCTTTCATGCTTCTTCCAAACCAAGTAATTCGCCCGGATGTCGTAGCACTTGGTCCCCCTCCTACTGTTTCTCCTGCGTCTTGTCGATGTTCAGTCTCACCTTGACTGATAACAGGAATAAATGTAATTATATTTCATATTACAGATACATTTCTTACATATCTCTTGGAGGGCCAGAAAATATATTAACAGCAGACAATCATTTTAACCTGGTCAAAAACCTCCACATCCTTCTCAGTCGATGCCTGAAGGTGGACCTCGAAGGCGTTCTGATCTGGTTCGACAACTTCCACCACATCAGGTGGGGTTTCAGTGATCTGGAAGTACATTATACAAAAATATCAATAAACAAACAACAACACTAAGTCAATCACAAATTTGAAAGACTACGGTATATGCAATAATTGTATTTACAATTGCATTGTTTACCTCAGTCAACATCTGCGGCTCCCGTCCGTACTCGGTGGAGGCCTGGATGCTGTTGTTGTGTGCAAAGATAATTACCTTCAGTTTGTTCTCCCACCCTTCCTGGTACCCATCAAGGGACTTGCCCATGGCAGTCTTGAGGGTCTGGTTGGTCCATTCACCAAACCTGGAGGAGGGGGTAGGAAATCTATATCTATTGACAATGTAAGATATTGAAATATGTCTGCTTATGTACCATGGAAAAACAAAAATTTAATTGTAAAAAAAGAATACCATACAAAAACAAATTGTAAAAAATAAATCAAACCATTGGTGACAGAATATAACCTATAGCATCCATACCTTGTTCCAGCGTTCATGACCTCGGTCACTCAAGATGACCTCAGGAGAACCGTGGGTGTTGAAGATGTCCATCATCGCCTTGTATGTGGCCTCGCCAGTCTCGTCCTTGATGGGTATCATACAAAAGGAAAATCAATTTTTTGTTCCAAGCACCCTTTTTAATGGGTTACAGAAGGGAATTTAGAGTTAAGCACGTTCTCTTCCTTTACTGATCTTAATGGGTATTGCCTCCACCCACTTGGTAAAGTGATTGGTCGCCGTCAGACACCAGCTTTTGCCATTCCTGGATTCCGTGAAGGGTACACAGAGGTCCACCCCTAACATTTAAAGTGTTAGAGAGAAGATGACTTTATTCTTACCCGTATCTGTGTCATACAGTATGCAGATTTACATATTTGTACATTCTATAATGTTGAACTCTGCTTTGTTCAAATAAAGCAACCATTACAAAACAACTTATCAGGGCAAAATTTGAATTGGGACACTTATCGATCATGTGCCATGGTGAAACAACTTTGATGGGCTTCAACTCCGGTGACACGGTCTTCACCCTCTCAAACTTATGGCATGCTAGACAGGGTACTGACCTTTAAGCAAAAAAGTGACAAATTGAAACGTTGTGTGCTCTCTGATATGAACTTCAGATATAATAGAATAAACAAAAGGTTATTTCACTTGACCAGCTGTCCACCTCCTTGACAATTCCAAGTCAGAAGAAGTGTAGGTTGATTTTGGCAATCATGCGCTTCACTCTGAAATGGCCAGCATGCATCTCGGTCAGCACAGCCTCCTTCTCCTCCTCAGTGAAAATCACCCTCCTGTGTGGCTGGTCATCCTTCCCCGTAGGTACATATGATTGCCTACAAGTTGGAAGGGTTGTTGAAATACTCAAGTCTAAGTACATTTGCACTGCTGTTCTCTCTCTCCATTTCTCGCTCTCTTTCTCTCTCTCCATCTCTCTCTCCCACTCTCACTTTCATCCTTTCTCACTTTCTTCCTCCCCCCTCTTTCTCTCTCTCTCTGTCTGTCTAGCAAAGACACCTAGTTAAGGGCATTTGGAATTTCCATAATAGCTTACACCTATCCATTTGATTGATCAGGTTTAACTTATAGCTAGATACCTCAATATGACAGACATATAACTATATGTATAGCTAGCAACATGTAGATGACCAACTAGCTAGATGGAAAATGGTTGTTGAAAAATGGTTGTACATAGCTAAATCCGTCCAGTTATCTAATAGAAGTTAACTGCTTAACGTTACTCTGAATTGTGCATTTTTCTGAATGTTGAGCCTCTTGTTGAGATCAGTGGTGCGTTCATAGTACTTTGCCTGGTTGGAAAGATAAAATAAAATCTCCTTGAGGGATGCCATTGAAGTGCAAGCTATACAAACAGAAAGCTACAATAACAGTTACAGTAGCTAGCTAGCTATCTAATGTTAGCTAAATAAAACTGTCTGAGTCAGACCACAGAGTGAAGGAAAAGCAGCCAACAAGTGCTCAGCATATGTGGGAACTCCTTCAAGACTGTTGGAAAAGCATTCCAGGTGAAGCTTGTTGAGAGAATGCCAAGAGTGTGCAAAGCTGTCATCAAGGCAAAGGGTGGCTATTTGAATAATCTCAAATATAAAATATTTGTTGGTTACTACATGATTCCAAATGTGTTATTTCATAGTTTTGATGTCTTCACTATTATTCTACAATGTAGAAAATAGTACAAATAAAGAAAAACCCTTGAATGAGTAGGTGTTCTAAAACTTTTGACCGGTAGTGTATATCACTGATAGGCCTGACGAATGGACACAGACAGCCTTGTTAAAAAACTGTGCAGGGCCTTGAAATGAGCTATATTGTGTGCCCTACAAATATCCTCCTAATGATTTTGTTGATATCCATCAATATTTGCAGCTAATGTTTAATCCAATAATACTGTATTTTATTTCATTGCAATTGAGTGTAGTTATCTTATGAAGGACCTGGCTATCTAATTAAACTGCAAGGGTGGACAGGCAAAGAATGCGAATTGAAAGTGCTCCTCATGGAGAGTGGAGGAGGGAGGGGGAATTTACAGTCTGCTAATCCCCCTGTCCTCAATATTTCTCCAACAGTCCTGGAGAGAAGGACCGAGCAGGACGCACCTGTGGGACGTGGGAGAAATCCTGGGATTCCAACGAACTATCACAACTTTCTGGACTGTCTGTACAGCAGACATATTGTTTTATTTTTTATAGTTGCTAGTGTGTTGTTAATTTAGATACGCATTTAACCGCGTGCATCCGTTAATTTGGATCTGAATCCAACGGTTAATCCTATTTGATAACCCTACCAGCGCACGGGACTGGAGCGAAACGTTTATTTTTCGGCCCTGAAGATCTTGCTGTCTTTGGATCAAAATCAACCGTTTCTCAATGAGCGACACGGAGAATTCCAACACGGATTCCAAATTGGAATCTGTAGTACAGGTCATGTCATGGCCAGTGCATGATTGCACTTCTATTTATCGTTGTTTTTAGGGTGTATTGATATTCTCCTGTAAATTATTGATTGTAAATCATTATAGAAATATCAATAAGTTTATAATTATGTTGCCTAGTTGTAATTACAATAGACTTCTTCACTAGGGATGCTGATGGTTTGACACTTCGACAGAGATGCCATGAATTCTGCTCTCTGTTGTGTTATGAAAGTGTATGTATGTGTGCTCTGCAGAGTGTGAGGTCAGTGTTCTATTCTGAACACATCTCTCTGGTAGACAGGAGTGACTGCTGAGAAGCCACCTGTCCTCATGGCACTGTGCTCTGCTGGGCCCTGAGCATTAGTCTGTCTCTGAGGAGAGGAACTATCACAAATGAGACAGAGATTGCAGACAGTAAATTCAAAAGTGTTCACATTCAGTAGGATAATCAAATAGCCTCACACCTTTTCAAGCAGGTGGCTGCAACAGCTGTTCTCCCATCTTCACTGTACATGCTCTCTCGTTGTGTTTTGCCCTCTCTCTCCTATAAATGCTTCTGTGTCTGTATCTCCTTACCAGAGGCTGGAGGAGAGTGTGCTGTCTAAGGAGAAGAAGCTGACGGTCCGAGGCGCCTCCCCAGAAGACCCAACTACGTGTCTACCTGCACGGGTCCGAGAGATTGTCACCAAGAACCTCAACGAGAGCTGTGAGTGGCCAACCATCTGATTATAAAATATCACAGATGCATTCAAAGTAGTGTTCTGAATATTGAATGAAGTGCTGTGCTCTTCATTAATACATGTGGTTGTCTGCCACTCTCTCTCTCCCCACCCCAGCACCAGGAGCCATGTCCTCAGTGATGTTTGTCCATGAGGAGAACCGGGTGCTGCAGGTAGAGTTGGGAAGGCTGGAGGACCTGCTGGCCCAAAGCAGGGCGGACCGCGATGAGCTGGCCATCAAATACAACACCATCAGCGAGAGGGTAAGAGACAGAGAAGAGGAGGCAGAAGATCAGTAATTAAAAGATACAATTAGATTATCCAGGAAAATATAACAGGATTGCATGTGAAGCACATAACAAAATGGAGGTTCAGAATGAGAGAATTAAGGCATTTGGTGGGGAGTAGTTAGTGAGTTCAATTCTTAATTATTTTTTATTTATTTATTTTATTTCACCTTTATTTAACCAGGTAAGCCAGTTGAGAACAAGTTCTCATTTACAACTGCGACCTGGCCAAGATAAAGCAAAGCAGTGCGATAAAAACAACAACACAGAGTTACATATGGGGTAAAACAAAACATAAAGTCAAAAAATACAACAGAAAATATATATACAGTGTGTGCAAATGTAGCAAGTTATGGAGGTAAGGCAATAAATAGGCCATATTGCAAAATAATTACAATTAGTATTAACACTGTGCAAGAGATTATGTGCAAATAGAGATACTGGGGTGCAAATGAGCAAAATAAATAACAATATGGGGATGAGTTGGGTGGGCTAATTTCAGATGGGCTGTGTACAGGTGCAGTGATCGGTAAGGTGCTCTGACAACTGATGCTTAAAGTTAGTGAGGGAGATGTATTTATTATTTATTTGGGCTGGTTGTAGTACTACACTAACCTGACTGCGAGAGGCTGTAAATGTGGTGGGTTTAAATGCTTGACCCACCATTGTGGTCTCCAATCTTTCCCGTAAAGCAATAGTAGGTGGTGTTGCCATACACCAGGCACTGTAAAGACCAAGCAGGCCACAGTCACACGGACATTTGACAGACACATATAACAATTACCAATGTACCCCTTTCTCAATTTTCCTTTCATTATTTTATTTGTCTGCTCGGGATAATTTAGTCCGTCTCCTTGGTTACTAGGACTGGAATGAAGTGAAGTGGCATGTTGCTATGACGTTTGACACCCCTGGTGATTGTAAACAGGGGCTTTAGTGGGGAAGAGAGGGGGGTCAGGCCAGAGGGGGGGCTCAGTAGTATGGCGTTAGAATTTAGCCTTACTAAATGCGGCTGAACATGAGGACCAGTATGTTGATACCGATTCCGAGCTCAACGAGCAGCCTGCAAGCCTGACCACCGAGGTAGAGGAGCCTAGCAGCAAATGCAATACCCGCCCATACCCCACGCCGCCTGCTGACCAACAAGACCGAGAAAAGCCATGCCTAGCACCATCAGCATGAGGTTAACATTACAACAAGCCCCTGCACCTCCGTTACCCCAGCCACTGGCACCTGAGGACCTCTGTGATGAGGAACCAGCGCAGGTTTGTCTTGACACTTACCCGAGCCGCATTTTAAGTGGGAGAAAGCAGGCCTTTTTAAAGCACCTGGTTCAAGGTCTGCATTTGGTTGTGGTGCACGCTATGTCGTCTGAGGAGGCAATAGAGGACTTTTTCAATGTGTGTAGCTCTGTGTACAATTTCTTTTTGGAAACCCACGGTGGCTGCACAGTACACTGGGGGAAAACTGGAAATAATTCTTAATCAGAGATGGACTGGCCACCTCGCCACGGTGGCCAGTCCAATCAAGTGACAGCATCACAGAGATGCTTGGTGAAATAGAATCTACTCGCGCATATGGCACAGATGTGAGACTTAAGGCCACAGACTTATTGAAAGCAGTGACAGAGCCGAGCTTTAAGTTTATTGCTAACATGACTCACAAAATCCTGGGGCTCCTCGACCCTCCTAACAAGTTACTGCAGTCTGAGCTACTTATCTGCACACCAGTGTCAAACTTGTCTGCAGTACGTATGGGTGCGTTGAAAAACTGCGATGTGATGCTGAATTCGAAAAGCTTTGGGAGGCATGCCAGGGCACGAGCACACCAGCTCCAAGCAAACTACAGAGACTCATGAGTAAAACAAGAGTATGTAGTTGAAAGCACCGTGGGTCAGCATTATGATTAATTCCTTGGTTTTCCCTCATGTAAGCCTGGTTGTTTGGCAGATTTCTGAATGTAATGTATAGTTACTTTAGGACTTGTTTTTTTACTTCAATGCAGGTTAGATTTATCTGTGATTCTTAATGTCATTGCTTGGTTTTTGTGGGTCTAATTGCTATTGATAGATATACAGCTTTGCGTTATTTTAAGGGTATAGGGACAGTGACCAATGTAGCCTATAGGTTGTCCTCTGGGGTGAGCCCTGACTCTTTAATCTTATTGTCCTGGCTGTCCACTTCAGTGGTGCTGAAATTGGCAGAGCATCCTTTCATCGCGCTGACTGGTGGTAGCCTTCTGTCCGTGGTCCTGAATCAACGGTGTGTGCTGTTTTAATGATCGGATCTTGGGCTACTAGTCTTCATGGGGCTTCTCTTCAACATTGCGTGCTTTCTTGTGTGCAAAATGACAGTTGTTGTGTACAGTCGTGGTCAAAAGTTTTGAGAATTACACAAATATTAATTTTCACAAAGTCTGCTGCCTCAGTTTTTATGATGGCAATTTGCATATACTCCAGAATGTTATGAAGAGTGATCATATTAATTGCAATTAATTGCAAAGTCCCTCTTTGCCATGAAAATGAACTTAATCCCCCAAAAAACATTTCCACTGCATTTCAGCCCTGCCACAAAAGGACCAGCTGACATCATGTCAGTGATTCTCTCGTTAACACAGGTGAGAGTGTTGACGAGGACAAGGCTGGAGATCACTCTGTCATGCTGATTGAGTTAGAATAACAGACTGGAAGCTTTAAAAGGAGGGTGAAATCATTGTTCTTCCTCTATTAACCATGGTTACCTGCAAGGAAACACGTGCCGTCATCATTGCTTTGCACAAAAAGGGCTTCACAGGCAAGGATATTGCTGCTAGTAAGATTGCACCTAAATCAACCATTTATTGGATCATCAAGAACTTCAAGGAGAGAGGTTCAATTGTTATGAAGAATGCTTCAGGGCGCCCAAGAAAGTCCAGCAAGCGCCAGGACCATCTCCTAAAGTTGATTCAGCTGCAGGATCGGGGCACAACCCGTGCAGAGCTTGCTCAGCAGGCAGGTGTGAGTGCATCTGCACGCACAGTGAGGCAAAGACTTTTGGAGGATGGCCTGGTGTCAAGAAGGGCAGCGAAGAAGCCACTTCTCTCCAGGAAAAACATCAGGGACAGACTGATATTCTGCAAAAGGTACAGGGCCTACATGTTTTTACATTTTGTATGTCGCAGTAGTATAGGACCAATACCGTGTGTAGCCTACTAAAAGAAGAAGGCAAACGTTCGCTCTGTTATTATTAATTTGCTTTATATACAGTTGTTGTGTGATAGGCTACTGTAAAGCTGATGTCAATACTATGAAAACGGCGGTCTCCTTTTCGCCCCCTCCCTGCTCTCTTGCTATAGCATGTGTGTGTTGCTCTCTGAATGGGCATTTACTCTTATCCGTGGCAGATTCAAATTGACTACTGTCATGTAGGAAATTTCACATCAGCTATATAGAATATGCACTTAGGCTTGGCTTACTGTAGATTTACGCTCATTGCATAGTGTCACAAATTCAACAGAAATGTAGCGTACAGTTCTAATAATTGAAGTTTAAGCTATGAAGCCTGTAAGAATCTTTGATTGCCTAGTGGTGCTCATCCTGTTGAGCTGATCTGTGCGTGTTGGTAGGCGCAAATTAGGTGTAGGCCTACGGCAGCTACGGCTGCATTTAGGTAACACTTGTATGTCGTAGTAGGTCCAATCTACCTTGTTTTATTAAGGCTCTAAAGCAATACTAGTTGTGCCCCCCCCCCCCCCCCCCCCACATGGATTTAAAATGCCCCCTCAGGCATGTCATCCTGGAGCCGGGCCTGGAGGCCAGGAACATTCATTAGTGCTGCTTACAACTCCTCAATCACAGAGCCCGCTAAGAAACCATTTTGTTCAGATATGGTTAAATAGATGCAAATGGAACCATCTTGCACCATGCAATAATTATGCATTTGTAACAGAGAATTATGGTTAAAAATTTCAGCATGTTATTTTACTTTCTAGGGCAGACCACATAGCATACCTGGCAATCCCAAAGAAAGACAGTAAGCAACAGTGGTTACATATCAGTCAGAGTTCTAGTACTCTGAAGGGTAAGTCTGTGACCCCCCCTGTGCCACATCAACCCCCCAACCTCTCTGTTATGTGTTTTAATCTATATAGCTAGAGCATGCGCTCCGCCTGGAGACGGGTGACGGGGACCAGGATTCACCAGAGTCTCCCAGCCTGGCTCAGCAGAACGTGGACCTGCGCAAATGTCTGGATGAGGAGCAGGCGGCCTACAAGCGTAAACTCACAGCCTACCAGGAGGGCCAGCAGAGACAGGCTCAGCTGGTGCAGAAGCTGCAGGCGAAGGTATCACACTATGATGCGTGTGTTTCCATTCACCTCTATTTTATTTGGAGGGTAAAGGTTGTTTTACTAGTTCATTTGTAGGCCTGTAATTGTCTGCCAACCCTCTGTGGTCAACAGGTTGAGCCTAATGGCGTGTTTTTGTTTTTTTACTTTATTTTTATTGAAGAACACACAAATGAACACAAAACAGGTAATGGCTGTGTTTTATTACGGTTTTAATTTGGGAAGTGAGTTCATGAACCTCATAGATGTCTTCCTGTATGACATCACTGCCTTACAGACTCTCCTACTAAGAATTAAAACATTTTATGGTGACAAATAGGGACCTGATGCTGATTAACTAATGTAATCTATATTATGTTACCAGTCAGAGAGCAGATCACCTCACTGTGTCCTCCCCTCCAGGTCCTGCAGTACAAGAAGAGGTGTGGAGATCTAGAGCAGACTCTAGTGGAGAAGTCCTCGGAGCTGGAGCTGCACAGACTGAGTGTTCGTACTGTGCCACACCACTATGGAGACATTCTGAAACAACTAACCATGCCATTTAGTAAAAGTATTGAGTTAATCTGCAATTCACATCTGATGCATAACTGTCATTCTTATTTCCCTTTAGGGTCGTTGTGATATGTCCAGCAACAGTCACCATCGAGAAGAGGTGGATCCATGCGGCGACCTGGAAAATGCTCTGATCCGGTTGGAGGAGGAGCAGCAAAGGTTAGTGATTGGAATCTGCCTGGGCCAATCAGTAATGAAACTAATGGCATACAGAATTCAATGCAATTGATGCAATGCCGTGTTATGCTCCACAGGAGCAGCAGTCTGTCTGCAGTGAACGCCATGCTGAGAGAGCAGTTGGAGCAAGCAGGACTGGCCAATGAGGCACTCAGCCAGGACATTCGCAGACTCACTGTTGATTGGTCCAAGTCCAGGGAGGAGCTGGAGCAGAGAGAGTCTGATTGGAGGAGGGAGGAGGAGGTGGGTATTAGAAATGAGAGTTTTTGTGGATGGCTGTTTTCATTTTGAATATAAGAAACACTTCTCTTATTTTCTGTCACGTGCTATTTCACAATTCCTCTCTCTTAGTCTTTCCACAGTTATTTCAGCAGTGAGCACAGTCGTCTACTGTCCCTATGGCGACAGGTGGTGGGCTTCCGAAGGCAGGTCTGTGAGCTGAAGAGCGCTACAGAGAGGTCAGAACAACTAACTGCACAACAAACGGCATGAATGCACCCCATTTTATATTGTGACTTTGCCACTATATTTGTGCTCTATGTATAGTGGTTGTTGTGAATTTGGATTATTTCATATTTCTTCCTCTGCCCCTTTCCCCCTACCAGGGACCTGTCAGACATGCGTAATGAGCTGGCACGGACCTCCCACTCTATCCAGTCGTCCTGCTCCGGCCTTTCCTCCACGATGCGCAACCGGGAGGGAGGGGCGGCCCTGGCTCTGGAGCGGGAGGTGGCGCTGCGTGGGCAGCTGGAGCTGCAGCTCAGAGAAAGGGTGGCCGAGATGATGAGCCTGCAGACCAGGACAGACGCAGAGAGGGCCAAGCTCAATGCCAGGTCAGGGAGAGAGTTGAACACTGTGCTCAGTCATTGGCTGTGTATCAAATGGCACCCTACATAGGGCTCTGCTCAAAAGTAGTGTACTATGGGACTCTGACACTGTCTGTCTTTCTGTCTCTCTGTGTTTACTGAGTGGCAGCCTGGTCTGCCTGGTGGTGGTACACAAATCAGGAGGGTGAAGTGTAATGTGCATCTTAGAGATTCAATGGTATGCTAAGTGATTTGTGTGTGTGTGGTCAGACGGTCAGATGCAGTGCAAGAGGGGGAGAGGCTGAAGGGTCAGACTGAGGAGAGAGACCGAGACATGGCCTTTCTGACCAGGAGACTGGAGGTGAGATTGGCCTGTGTGACCCCAGCATAGAAACTTCCTGTAGCCATTTGCCATCAGTAGCCATCATACCCCTCCCTCCTCACTATGGTTATCTTCCTACAGGAGCAGATTGGGAACGATGAGACAGACATGCAGGTGATGAGAGCTCATACTGAAACACTGCTGGACACACTGAGAGACATTGCACAGGTACAGCAGTCTCTCACATACGCACACACACGCACAGCAAACTTTGACCAACCTCCACATTTAAACCCCTCCCTAGACTGTCCTGTCCGATGGGGACTCATCATCAGAGGCAGACCAGGAGAACACCGGAGCTCCTTTATTGGCTCTGCTCCATGGCTCCTCCCCTCACCGCTCCTCGTCACCACAGCAATCCACCTCTCCCAGCCGCTACTCCTCGTTGGCACCCGTCCCAGAGGCCAGCCTGTCTGCCCTGCGCTCTGCTGTCAACAGCAGACATCTCCAGCTGCAGGTACCCCGTCCACACTGTTGCAGCTGGACACATTAACACATCTTCTACTATATAAGTGGTTTTACTGTAGTCATTGAGAATTGAGGCTTCTTATAGCCGGCTTTATTACAATGTTACATTGTCCAACTTTCCTATACAAACATTTCCTATAAAAGTTGTCTTATCTCTTAATTCCTCTGTATCACTTTCAGTGTCCAGTGTTCAGTGTCCCACTCTCTCCTCTGCCTCTGTCTCTCTGGTCTACAGGAGGTCCGGGGGTGTCTGTCCTCTGCCCAGTCATCATTGCAGATGCTGCGCAGGCAGCTCGCAGAGGCGGAGTCAGCCAAGCGAGAGACAGAGCAGCGCAGTTGGACCCTGCAGGGAGAGAGGGATGGAGTTCAGAGAGAAAAAGACACCACGCAGAGAGAGAGAGACTGTCTGAAACAAGACAGAGACAAACTGGCTAGGTACAACCAGAAGAGTCCGCAAGCAGACTTATAAAACAAATTGGGTGATGGAAAACCCTTTAGGACCAGGAAGTGTCTTCCCTCAGTGCCCTGGTTAAAGAACAAGCCTTAGTATGCATGGAGAGAGGAGTAGCTAATGCTACAGATATTGTAAGCACTAGCAGTTAACTTTATTTTCAGGAAGCGCACATCTTTCCTTTCATACAGCTTTACAGAAATTTCGAATCACAATGTCCTGTTGTCCGCTGTGTCTGTGTGTCTGTCCTCTCAGTGAGAAGATGGCTATGGAGAAGGCAGCCCAGACAGCTCTGATCAAGGCCCAGATCCTGCAGATGGACTGTGAAAAGCTTCAGCAGGCCGTGACGTCGGCCCAGAGAGAGAGAGGGATCACGAGAGAGAGGAGAAGGAGGCCGAACGGCAGGAAAGAGACTGAGCCAAGGCTGAGACAGAGCGAGTGTGAGTGAGATAAGAGATGGAGAAAGTCAGCAAAACCAATTGACATCGATAGGGTGTGTGAATGGAAAACAAACCCAGTAGTCATGTCTCTGTCTCTAACCCTGTCCCTGGTCCCTGTCCCCACAGTCAGAAGCAGTGGGAGCAGAGTGAGAGCCGGGCGTCTGTCCAGCGAGGGGAGCTGTCTGCAGTGAGAGAGACCCACCACCAGGCGGAGGTGGAGAGGCAGCTGCTGGAGGGGGAGAAGGCCCAGCTCACTGAGGCTCTGACCCGGGTAAGACACACAGATGATGTCACTCACTCTCTGGATCCTCTTGTGTTTGGTTGTCACTATTTGGTCCTCCTTTGACTTCCTCTCCTTGAAAATTCACCTCTTAAAAGTTCACCCATCTTCTCTCTGTCCTGTATGTTTTCTCCTCTGTCCCCCAGGCTGAGAGCAGTAATGCAGAGCTCTCTCTGCTGGTCAATAAGCTTGACTCTGAGGAGGCTGCCCTCCGAGACTCTCTGGCCAAGATGGGCAGCATGAATGAGGGCCTAGCCCAGGACAAGTCTGACCTCAACTCCATCATCAGCCAGGTGGGACACAGTGGGACCAACACCTTGATCAACATTTGACTAACACTTGTGGGTGAAGTCATATAGGACTAATGCAAGAGTAACCATCAAAACAAAGCATCGCTCTGGCCTATTCTATAGGCTAGGACCTCTTCAATTCTGGCCTTCCACACCCGTTTACTCTCTCATACGTGTCCATGTTTCTCTCTCTCTCTCTGTCTCTCTCTCAGCTGGAGGAGGAGAAGGCCCATCTGCAGGCCCAGAAGCGTGAGGCGGAGCAGGAGAAGCTGACCATCAGAGATGAGCTGGTCCGATTGGAGCAGGACAGGCTAGAGCTGGACACCGCACACCTCGCCCTCCACCAATCACTGCAGGAGTCTGAGCTGAGCAGGGTGGGGATGGAGGCGGAGCTTCAGAGCCTCCGGGCAGATAGAGTGAAGCTGCAGGACAAAGTCACTCAGGTAAATGATGAGAATGGGAAAGTGGCATATGATAATGTGTCTTCTCAGCAAGAAAGAGCTTCAGTAATTAACAAAGAATGATAATCACTGAGTTCTGAAACCTCATTGTTCTGTGAATCTCTGTCTGTAAATGTGTACAATTTTACTGCATGTACCTGTGTATTTCTCTGCTGACAGTTGTGTGGCGAGGTGAGCTCTCTGGGGGTGGAGTTGGGCATGGCCCGGGGTGAGGAACAGACAGGGCGTGGCCCTGGAGGAAGTAGGGCGGGACAGGGCGGAGCTGGCTAGAGAGAGGGCGGGGCTGGTGGTCCAGCTGACTGCATCAGAGAGAGCGAACGCCATGCTGACCGAGGAGCTGGCCGCATTCAGGTGAGATCTGTGTGTGTGTGCGCATGTGCATGCATGTCCGTCTGTGTGTGTGTATGTGTGTGTGTGTTGAAGAATTGGTCCCTGATGCGTGTGTCATGCCCCTGCAGGTCGGAGCGGGAGGCCCTGGAGACCAGCCTGTTTGAGGTGCAGCAGCAGCTGTTGCAGCTGGAGTCTGACAGAGAGCAGCCGGAGACAGAGATCCAGAGCCTGCGGCTGCGCTGTGAGACAACCACCGGTGAGAGAGAGAGGGGACAGGAGGATGAGAAATGAATGACTTACATACAGAGAGGAACCAAATGAGTGAAAATAAGATGGTAGTGGCAGAGAGAGCATCAACAAGGAAGACGGGAGGATTGATAAGTTAGAATTAAATAATATTATTGAGGAGCATTGGAGCCATAGAACATCGGAAGAAAGAGGGGAAACCAGATCAAGTGTTAGTAAAAAGGAGTTGAGGAGATTGATGGAGAAATGATGCTATAGCCATTACATGACTGTATGAACACAGGTTCGAAACTGCTCATCATGTCCCCTATTGTCCTGTGTAGCGGAGCTGAGGCGTGTGTGTGCTGATGGGGAGAATGCACTGGCACAGAGTGAGCGGGAGAGAGAGACTCTGAGCCAGGCCCTGAGCACCACCCAGCAGGAGTCCCAGCAGGCCCTACGCACCGCCATCACTGACCACCAGGAGGAGGCAGAGAGACTGAACGCTGAGAAGGTGAGGGGGGGATGGGGGCCACTGTAGAAGTCTAGTTCTACTAGACTAGTTCTGTTTGGAGAGGTTTTTGCTCTAGCAGTAAGAATATTATAAGGATGGTTTTACTTGTATCCAGTACTATTATGATTATTATTTATGTTTCTTACTTTTGCCCAAGATGTCTCAATGTGTGTCTTGATTCTACTCAGTTGTTCATGTTCTTTATTTGGGCTGGTTAGACCCATACAATGAACATGAACAACTGAGTGTGTTTGTTCTCCAGGAGGCCCTGCGTCACAGTCTGGAGTCTGAACAGGAGGGGGCACTACGACGTGTCAGACAAGAGGTCGAGGAGCAGCTCCTCAGAGCCGAGAGAGACCGGGAAGACCTGAGAGATGAAGTGAGGAGTCTGCACCATGACAGAGACCAGAGTCTGCTACAGGCATAGACAGAGAAACAACAGGTCAGTCACATCTTAGAGACCAGACAAAGACACCATGTAATAGAGATCAGACTCTGTAATGAAGTGCAGAGAAAATACTGATAAGAGAACTTATATCCCCAGTTATAGAGGCCCTTTCTATTGCCCTCTCTCAGATGCTGTCCCAGAAGGAATCAGAGAAGGCTGTGCTGTCTGAGAGGGTGTCCATCCTGAAGGCAGAGCTGGGTACTGCAGCCCTGGAGCTGGATAGACTGGCCAGAGAGGCAGCGCATTACAAAGCCCAAGAGAGGGTAATTCTAGACCGCGTTATAACTCTGTGCCCATTCTGTACTATCATGAATTGTTCTAAAATACATTAAAATGCTAAACATGTATGTGTCCAAACTCTAAAGTCTCCTTGACTTTTGTCTATAGGCCTCAGTGGGAACTCTGACCATTGAGTTACTGGAGCTTCGCTCTCAGCTGGAAGAGGCTGGCAGTGTTCATGATCGGGAGCTATACAGGCTGCAGGAGAACTGCACTGACCTACAGACACACACTGACATTGCACTCAAAGAGGTGAGGTACGGTTAGAGTCAGGGATGGAGCCAGTGACCATTTCTGGTTCAACATTTCTTTACCACTCTCCCTAACTTCCTCTTCCAGTTGGAGGAGTGCAGAGCTTCTCTCTCAGCCAGTGAGGAGAGCTGAGACCAGGTGAGGCGGGACATGCTGGAGATGGAGAGGTGCCTCAACCAAACCCGGGACACCGGGGAGGGGTACAGAAGGGACGGGGTGGAGCTACGGCACACCTTCTGTGATGTCACCAAGGAGAGAGACACACTCAGCCTATCAAATGCAGCTGAGGGAGACACTGATAAGTGCAGATTCTGAGAGAATCAGGTAGAGCTTGGCTGCACACCTTCCACATGTTCAGTACTAGTATCACTGTGGGATCGTAAATCCTAAAGAAAGCATCTATACAAAAGTGTGTAATATTTGACATTTTATTTTTACTGAACTCTCACTGCAGTAGTTGCAATACTAATATTGTGTGTCAGTGTGAAGCATCAGTGTGAGGAGAAGGAGCAGCGGCTGGCTGTTCTGGGGGAGAGCCTGTCGTCTGCCCATAGAGAGGTGACGGAACTCCGCAGCTGTTTGAGAGAGGTCGAGAGGTCACGACTGGAGGCCCAGAGAGAGCTGCAGGAGCTACGCAGACAGGTCCGTCACACGGTCACATCTCTGAAATACTCTGTTTATAATTTGACATTTATCGGTTTACCTTAACTGCTGTAGAACACTATAAATAACTTGACTAGGCATTGAGTTTTTGCTGTCCACGTGATCATACCAGGAAAAACTCCAGGCCTTGGTTTAGACATAGTCTATAACTCCTCCATCCAATCACTCCATCAGGTGAAGGTGCTTGATGGAGAGAAGGAACAGAAAGGGAAGGAGGTGGCTGAGCTGCAGACGCGTCTCTCCCTGGAGGAGCAGAGAGAGGAGGAGAGAGGAAGGGAGATGTTCTCTCTCAAACAGAAGCTGGCCGAGGCAGACACAGCCAGGACCTCCATCAAGAAAGAGGTGAGGATGGTGGAAGAGATTGAGGAGGGTGTAGAGTGAGAGTTTAGGCTTGGTTAAACATAAAACTTAATCAACCTCCCTCTACACATCCCTTTCTGCTGTACCACTCTTTCAATCGCTATCCTTCCCTCTCTCCTCCCTCCCCCTCTCTTTCTCCTCCCTCCAGCTGTCCATCCTCCAGAGGCATCTGACAGAGTCAGAGTTAGGCTGTCGGGGTTGTGAGAGGGAGCTGACAGCCCAGATGCAGGAGGCCCGGGGCTGTGAGAAGAAGCTCCAGGATGAGGCCAGGAACCTGTCCCTGCGGCCCCAGACAGCCCAGGACTCCCTCACTCTGTCTAGCCTGCAGCTCAGCGAGGCCCAGGGCCGCCTGGCAGCCACCAAGGCAGAGCTGGCCAGGTCCGTAGCCGGACGCAGGGAGCTGGAGTTCCGCCTGGGCAGCCTGCAGTCGGCGCTGACCCGTACACTGGGCATCGGGCTGGGGGGCCGGAGCAGTGCCAGCTGGGGCAGGAGCCCCAGGGGGAGCATCCCACAGCAGCATCACACGTAGCCTCTCGCCCCTTGCCAAACATCAATGTGAAAGCAGGCTGTAATTAATTGTATTTACAGAGACAAACAAAATCCTGTAGAATACTTGATGGGATTGGAGTTATACTGATTGTAATTTTTTCTTCCAGATTTTGGAGGTTCGACCCCTGACAATACGTTGGGCTGCTCCAGGCTGATCTCCCCAGAACAGGGTGACACCCCCCTCCCCATGCTTCTGCCTCAGCTGGACCCTGAGAAGCTGCGCTGTGCCCTCCGAGACTTCCTCCAGGAGCTCCGAGACTCTCGAAGAGACAGGGTACTGTAGACATGATACATGGCAGTCCAGTATCATATAAACGTAAAGATTATACATTTTATTTACCATTCTGTAAGACACATTTATTAACAGACTGAAGCCTTTTTTCACACTTTTTTTACCTAAGTGATTTCTCTCAGTATTGTGCTAAACAATTGTACAAGAAATCTCTGTAGCACTGAAATGTGAATTTAGATGATAGAAAAGGTAATGGTCTGTCAGTGCATGATGGGGTTGTTGAAGTGTGTTCCATGTTGTTTTTTAGGACGAGGCTCGCTGCCAGTTGGGGGGGCTACAGAGCGAGCTGGAGGAGGTGACGGGGGAGAGAGACTCCGCCCAGAACCGCCTTTCTCAGCTACACAACACACTGCAGGAGTGCCAGAGGGTGAGCCACACACACGTGCACGGACACACACACAAACCATAAGAGGGCCAAGAGAGTCATTTACACAGTGAAGTCATTCACAGCCATCCAATGACCCAGGAAGGGCACACTTTATGCACACATTGGCATATAGACCTTGTCTGTGAATGCTCCAGTGTTGTGACTGTCTGTGTTTCTGTCCAGGTAAGCGTGGTGTTGACGGGCGTCTGAGCTCCACCCAGGCCATGCTCCAGCAGCAGGAGGAGACGGTGAGGAGGGGAGAGAGGGAGAGGAGGGCCCTCACTGACAGAGTCAAGGAGCTGGAGAGAGCCCTGCAGACTGCAGAGACGGAGAGGAAACACATACAGGTACACACACTGCAGATTGCAGAGACTGAAACACATGCACATACACTCACACCAACACATACTTACTGTATGTAGAAGAACTTCCCTGACTAGGATTATAGTGTCTGCTAACACAATGCTGCCCACTAACCTGCCAACACTGCCATATGGTGACCCTGCAGGGAGCATTAGGTGGGAGCAGAAAACTGACGGTGACTGTCATAACAACAGATGCCACAGAACACTGAGTAATTAAACACAACTCCATGTCATATCTCTGGCCAAAGCAACTCCATATGTCCAGTCCTCTAAGTCCAGCCCTCACACCACCCTAGGAAGCACTTTCCACAGCTGACAACAGAAGGAGCATGGGGAAAGAGGGAGAGAGAGAAGGACTGGCTGAGTGAATGGGAAATGGGTTAGTGGGAGAAAGTCCAAGGGGAAAGACGGATGAAGGGAAAGGAGGGTAGGTATTTATGATTATAGAGATTATAGTTAGGAGCTGCAAAATCAAATGGTAGAGAATTGAATAGACAGTATTTCTGGGGGGGGGGGGGGGGGGGGGGGGGGGGGGGGGTGTTGAGCATTAGAGGGAGGGATGTGGCCAGCTGTAGATCAACTGTCTGTGTGTTTATGTCTGTCTGGCCTCCCTATGAGAGTGTTTGTGGAGCGTCTGTGTTTGCCCCTCGTGTCTAGTTCTATAGCTCTCTACAGCAGGGGTACTCAACTACTATTTGAGAAGGTCCGGTCACACAAAGTTCCTAAATGGAAAAGGTCCGGATGGATATTGTCATTAGTCTGCTTAGTAACAAACCCCCACATCATGACCCATGTGACCCCCAAACAGTTCACACGGTTCACACCCCTCTTGTTGGAGGAGATACATTTTTGCAGTTTTAAAGCAAATTTCCTGCAATTCTACACACTTTGCCTTGTCTTATGTGTACCTGAGTGACTCAACAAAATCAATGTAGTCGTTGCGTATGGCTGCTCTACAGTCTCCAGGCCTCTCATTAGACAAGCAGCCTTTCTGCTGTCAGACTGTGTCACATACTGGATCTGGATGGACTGGCTGGCTTTGACATGTGACCTTGATGTGACTGCCAGTCTGACAGTTTCAGATCTTTCTCTCTCACACTGTCTCTCTCACTCTCTCCTTCTCTTTCTGTCACTCTCTCATTCTCTCACAATGTCTCCCTTTCGCTCACCTCACTCTCTCCTCCCTCTCCTCCGTGTAGGACCAATTGAGTAAGCAGCATGTGGGCGAGGTGCGTCTGGAGGCTGAGCGGAGGCGCCTGCGGGAGGCCCTGGAGGCTGCTGAGGCACGGGGGACCAGGATGGAACTGGGGAGACGCAGTCTGGAGGGGGAGCTGCAGAGATTCAAACTGAGCCTGGGGGACAGGGAGGCCGAGAGCCAGGCCACCCAGCAGCACCATGACACACTACTCAAACAGGTAACACTCTTAGCCACATGTCTATGAACAGATACATCCCTGATGGAGGCAGGTCATGCTGAGATTTAACCAGATTCAAATGGAAATACACTTATACCGGATACACACTGAGACACTCAAAGCACTCATACACATTGTGTTCTGCATCTGTCCCAGGTGGTGGAGGGGGAGAGCCGTGTGACGTCACTCCAGAGAGAAGTGGACAGGCTGAACCAGGCTCTGTCTAAAGTCCAGGAAGGAGAGGCCTGTATCAGAGAGAAGACCCAGAACCTCTCCCAGAGCCTCCAGGAGGCCACGACTGCCCACAGCGCCACCCAGGGGCGCCTGGCCGCACTGCAGAAGACCCTGGGGCTGGCCGAGCAGGACCGCAGGCATCTAAAGGTGGGTGGAGAGGAACCATTGATGGGACAGTAGGACTGAAATTCAAGTGTTTGTTGTCAAGGTTCATCCCTGTAATTTAAATAGGTTTACAGCTAATTGTAATGACCAGTGAATGGAGTGTTGCTGTGTTCAGGAACGAGTGGATGGAGCGCGGTCGTCCCTGGTGGAGGGGAAGAGAGGCATGGTGGCCCTCACTGAGCGAGTGCAAAGCCTTCAGACTGAGCTGACCCAGAGCGAGCTGAGACAAGGAGAGCTGGAGGCAGAGCTGGCCCACACACAGGAGGTGTGTGTGTGTGTGTGTGTGTGTGAGAGAGAGATATCTGTATAGCTGTTCCTTCACCCTGTCTGTCCTGTAGGCCCTGCGTCAACGGTCCGCCAGTCTGACAGAGGCCCAGCACAGTGCCCAGTCTGCCCAGGCAGAGAGAGCGACTGCAGAGGAGAGGCTGCGGGGGCTGCAGAGGGCCGTGGCCATGCTGGAGACAGAGAAGAAAGATGCGGAGAGACAGGCTGTCCACCTGGAGAAGGACAAAAATGCACTGTGGAATATACTGGACAAGGTGAGACGAAGATAAGACCGTGAGATAAACACCAAACACAACAAGCATCAGGAATATACACAGAGTCTATGAAACATTAAGTAGACTTTCCTTTAATTGAGTTGCACCTCTTTTTGCCCTCCGAACAGCCTTAATTCGTCTGGGCATGGACTCTACAAGGTGTCAAGTGTTCCACAGGGATGCTGGCCCATGTTGACTCAATGTGTCGCATTGGTTGTGTCAAGTTGGCTGGATGTCGTTTGGGTGGTGGACCATTCTTGATACACACTGTTGAGCATGAAAAACCCAGCAGCGTTGCAGTTCTTGACACAAACCGGTGCACCTGGCACCTACTACCATACCCTGTTCAAAGGCACTTAAATCTTTTGTCTTGCCCATTCACCCTCTGAATACACAATCCATGTCTCAATTGTCTCTAGGCTTAAAAATCCATCTTTAACCTGTATCCTCCCCATATAGATTCATTGAAGTGGATTTAACAAGTGACATCAATAAGGGATTATAGTTTTCACCTGGTCAGTCTGTCATGGAAAGAGCAGGTGTTCATAGTATTTTGTATACTGTTACAGGTGGGACACAGTGTTGGAGTCCATATATTTTAAACCATTTAAATTCAGGAACTACATTTCAATTCAATGAATGAATTGAAACAGAACAGGGACTGCAGGTAGCTGAGTGAAAATGGAGGGAAACTAAACTTCCAGTGAACCTATCATCCTTCCACTCCCTCCTCTCTACCTTATCTTCCGCTGTATCTGCTGCTGAAGCCGCTTTCTATCACTCTAAATTTCAAGCTTCTGCCTCTAACCCTATGAAACTCACTCCCCTCCTCAAGAAACCAACACTTGACCCCTCTGACATAAAGAATTACAGACCAGTATCTCTGTCTATGACCAACTCTCTCGTTATCTCTCTCAGAACAATCTTCCAGACTCAGTAAGTAATCAGTAAGGCTTCAAGAAGGCTCACTCAACTGAGACCGCTCTCCTCTGTGTCATCTGTGACCTGCCAAAGCTGACTCATCCTTCTAGATCTATCTGCTGCCTTCGACACCGTGAACCATGTCTGCACCACGTGCTCTCACCACTGGTGTCCCCCAGGGCTCGGTTCTAGGCCCTCTCCTCTTTTCTCTTTACACCAAATCACTCGGCTCCATCATATCCTCACATGGTCTCTCCCATCATTGCTATGTGGATGACACTCAACTACATTTCTCCTTCCCCCCTTCTGACACCCAGGTGGCGACACGCATCTCTGCGTGCCTTGCAGACATCTCAGCTTGGATGTCGGCCAACCACCTCAAGTTCAACCTCGACAAGACAGAGCTGCTCTTCCTCCCGGGAAGGCCTGCTCGTTCCAAGACCTCTCCATCACAGTTGACAACTCCATGGTGTCCCCAGACCCAGAGTGTAAAAAACCTTGACGTGACCCCTGGACAACACCCTGTCGTTCTCTGCAAACATCAAAGCAGTGACTCACTCCTGTAGGTTCATGCTTTACAACATCCGTAAAGTACGACCTTTCCTCACACAGGAAGTGGCGCAGGTCCTAATCCAGGCACTTGTCATCTCCCGTCTAGACTACTGCAAATCTCTGTTGGCTGGGCTCCCCGCTTGTGCCATCAAGCCACTGCAATTTATCCCGAATGCCGCAGCCCGCCTGGTGTTAAACCATCCTATGTCACCTCGCTCCTCCGCACACTCCAATGGCTTCCAGTCTAAGCTCGCATCCGCTTCAAAACCCTGCTGCTTGCCTACGGAGCAGCAAGGCGAACTGCCCCTCCCTACCTTTAGGCTATGCTCAAACCCTACACCCCAAACGAGCACTCCGTTCAGCCACCTCTGGTCTCTTGGCCCGCCCACCCCTAAAGGGGGTCAGCTCCCACTCAACCCAGTCGAGGCTATTTTCTGTCCTGGCACCCCAATGGTGGAACGAGCTTCCCCCTAATGTCAGGACAGCGGAGTCCCTACCCATTTTCCGAAAATGTCTGAAACCCTACCTATTCAAAAAGTATCTTAAATAAATCCCACGGCACTTGTCTTTTCCTACTAGCACTGACTTTATTGAGGGAAAAAACAACTACTTTATTGAGGTGAAATGTACTTTCTACGACTGTGATAGATGGTTATCTCACTTAGCTATCTTGAGATGAATGCACTAATTATAAGTCACTCTGGATAAGAGTGTCTGCTAAATGACTAAAATGCCAAATCTAATTTTCAATTAAAATCCGGACTTGACTGAATTAAATATGAAATGGACCCTAACCCTTGTGTTGAGTGGTACTGAGGTAATTGTGACCATTTGGGACGGTCTCTTCTCAGGTGGAGCGTCAGAAGCTGAAGACTGAGGAGGGTAGCATGCGTCTGTCTGCAGAGAAGGGCCGCCTGGATCGCTCCCTCACCACCGCCGAGCAGGAGCTGCAGGACGCACAGAGACAGATAGCACTGCTACAGGTGGGCAGGGACTAGTGGGGAGAATGTAAACCCTAGAGAAAGGCAAAGAAAGGGGAACTTTACTTCAGGGTGGTAGCAGTAAGGTGACAGTGACTGTCATGAGATGTTTCCTCAACATGTGGATCATCTTATTTCCCCTGCTAAATTAGCAGAATTAATGACGGAGTCAGGCATTAGTTAGTCATTTAACCTTCATTTAGTTTGTTGATTTTCTGTGTGGGTCAATGTGGTAATGAAACAATCAATATTTACATTACACTTTTTCCTAGGCACACGTTAGTATTTTTCTGGGGTCAAACTCAATTTGATAATGCCAAGCATTCATCAAAGTCAGGTCCCATAGACTTAGCATATGATTGTAATATAAAAAACAACCCCTCCCCCAACCACCAGTAAACCACAAATAACCTAATTTACTGAGGTGATTAGCTGATGTTATTTGGTGATTGGCTGATGTTATTTGGCTGCTTTGTGAAAGGAGGAGTTAACTTTTTCTATGGTGAGTGTCTCAATGTCTGGTGTTTGTCTAGTTATTGCTATAATAGAAGACCAGGCTAATTTCTACTTTGTAGTTTTAGTCTGAAATTCTCTGTACAGATAAGTGAGGGGTTAGTCAGGTGAGACAGTGCTTTTGTTGCAGATCATTGTACTTTCTTCTTCATTAGTTTGACCCTCCCAGAGCGCTTGTCTGTTATTCCCTGAGCTCCGGGGGTCGTGTTCACTTTAAAGCCAGCCAAATGAAACCCCATGCAAGCGTGAGTTGGAATCACTACAAAATGGCTGTAGCCTCAGGCCCTCTGGATCGAAATGCATCTGCTGCTAGTTAGACGCCTAATGTTGAGCAGTTAAGCAGAATTGTTTGGCTTGTTTGTTCTTGATCTGGACCCTGATGGTGTCTGTTACGACTGAAGTTTTATAAGAATGTGCACAACATCCTTGATATACATTGAATACATAAATTACATGATATAGCTTAGCTAGTAGGCCACTGTTGAATAGTTATTCTACTGTGGAGTCTTTGTTTGCTTTTGAATTAATTTGAAACGACATTTCCATAAAGAAGTCTGAACTACTGAATAATAACTTTATCAAGGTCATGGATGTGAGCCATGAGAGTGGCCTTTCCTAGTCGTTGTGTCAGCTAATCAAGAAGCAGATGTCAAGTGACCACCACACAGGGGCTATTAACCATTTGTCGTCAGACCTCTCCCAGCCCTACCAGCTGTGTTTATGGTGTCCCATGTAGCATAGTCGCGGCACCCCTGAAAAATCGGAATTCAAAAGAAAAATATTTATCAAAAACAGTAATTTTTAGAAAAAAATGTTTTTTACAAAAGGAGTGCACTGGGCCTTTACCTGTAGGGCAGGAAAAAATAATAATCTGCATATCCACTTTGGCAAAAAAAGGTAGTTGTATAATTAAGAACATTATCTTGCATGATTAAATAGTTGGAATTGTAAGAGTTGTTGCCCAGTCCCTTTCTCTGTGATTGTCATTCTAATAGAATACAGAAAGAACAAAACCCTGTCCTCAAACATTTACATCAAAGGGTGCAAAGTTATGGGCAAAGACACAAAACATCCACATCAAATTAAATATTTTTCTTGATCAAATAACATGGAAAACAACCAATTTTTGTGCAGTATTAATTTAACATCCTTATAAATCACTTATTGTAAATGTACATTACTGTATTGTACATAGGCTGGTCATCTAGGTTTGTACCTGTAGTCTTTCCATCACCATGAAGAAAAACAATGCACAATACAGTAATTGAGTACATTCAGACATCAAATGGTTTGTGATGATGGGATGATGTGGCTCAGTTGGTAGAGAATGGTGCTTGCAATGCTAGGGTTGTGGGTTCGATTCCCACGGGGGACCAGTATGAAAATGTATGCACTCACTACTAAGTTTCTCTGGATAAGAGCATCTACTAAAATGGAAAAGGAATGAATAGACCATTTCAGTTTTCACATAGAAATAAGTTGCATTTGCAAAGTATTTCAAGAAACTGGAAAACATAACAAAAATTATTTTTATATTCCACAAGTATTATCAGATGAACTTTTTTGTACAGATCATTATCAGACTCAAGATACAAATGCTGGTAAAGACTCAAATACATTTAGTTTTTTTATCACAAAAGTAGTGCACTGGGCCTTTACTAGTCCTGTATTAGCGGACTGATATAGACGTCTTCAGCGTGGGCATTTTTTTTATTCTGCATCCCCAAACTACTTCTTGCAGCTATTACATTTACATTTACGTCCATTTAGCAGACCTCTTATCCAGATCGACTTACAAATAGGCATTCACCCTATACCATGGATAACACTTTACAATATCTTTTTTTTTTTTTTTTTTTTTTTTTTTTTTTTTTTAGGGGGGGGGGGGGGGTGGTAAGAAGGATTACTTGGCATGTAATGTTGACATACCTCTTGTTAGCACCTAGAAAACTACCCTAAGTCTCTGACTTGGTGTTTCTGTGGCCCAGTGACTAACACTCCTCTCTCTATCTGTGTATATGTTTCTCTGTGTATCCAGGCCCAGCTGGCTGAGATGGAGCAGTCCCACAGTGAGAGTGAGAGCTCTGTGCGGCAGCGTGACGAGGTGCTGCGTGAGGTGGAGAAGCTGAAGGTCGCCCAGAGGGAGGCAGAGAGGATCCTGGCTGCCCGAGACAGAGCCCACCGCCACCGGGTCAAAGGCCTGGAGGAGCAGGTATGTACAGCCAGAAGGTCAGAGGTTAAAGGGCAAGAAGACAAACCGTGAATGTCTGTGTGTCAGTCCCTGACCCTCTCTGTCCGTCCCACAGTTGTCCACTCTGAAGGAGCAGCTACAGCAGGAGATGAGGCGTAGACAGCCCTCTCTACCCACCTCCCTCATATCTGGAGGGAACTGAGCACTGAGCAGCGCTCCATGTGTCCCTCCATGGGTACTACAGTCCACTAACAGCTCCGGAACCAGTATCACATCATTACATTTACATTGTATACCACATCATCAGCTCCTCTGTCTTGACACACGCATCTCCTCCTACTCAGGGAGAAACTCAGCGACACCACGGGAAGAGACTGTGGATGATAGAAGTGTAGTCCAGTACAACAGAGGAGGAATGAGATCCTCATCTCTGCCAGTATACAGTTGACCTGTGTTCCCTTCCACACACACACCAGCAGACCAGCATACAAAGGGAGAACAGTCTAAGTCACTGTTTGAGCACTAGGCAACAAATTGATCGGCCATATGACGGAACTACTGTACCATCCATCTTGCTAGTATTTGGTTGAGATTGACCCAACTATTTTGTCTGGACCAATAGATGGAGTGTGTGTGTCTGTGTACACTACCGGTCAAACGTTTTAGAACACCTACTCATTCAAGGGTTTTTCTTTATTTTTTACTATGTGGAATAATGGTGAAGAGATCAAAACTATGAAATAACACAAATGGAATCATGTAGTAACCAAAAAATATTTTATATTTGAGAGCCACCTTTGCCTTGATGACAGCTTTCCACACTCTTGGCATTCTCTCAACCAGCTTCACCTGGAATGCTTTTCCAACAGTCTTGAAGGAGTTCCCACATATGCTGAGCACTTGTTGGCTGCTTTTCCTTCACTCTGTGGTCCAACTCATCACAAACCATCTCAATTTGGTTGAGGTCGGGGATTGTGGAGGCCATGTCATCTGATGCAGCACTCCATCACTCTCCTTCTTGGTAAAATAGCCCTTACACAGCCTGGAGGTGTGTTGGGTCATTGTCCTGTTTAAAAACAAATGATAGTCCCACTAAGCCCAAACCAGATGGGATGGCGTATCGCTGCAGAATGCTGTGGTAGCCATGCTGGTTAAGTGTGCCTTGAATTCTAAATAAATCACAGACAGTGTCACCAGCAAACCACCATCACACCTCCTCCTCCACGGTGGGAAATACACATGCGGAGATCTTATGTTCACTCACACCACATCTCACAAAGACATGGCGGTTGGAACCAAAAATCTCCAATTTGGACTCCAGACCAAAGGAACATTTCCACCGGTCTAATGTCCATTGCTCGTGTTCCTTGGCCCAAGCAAGTCTCTTCTTCTTATTGGTGTCCTTTAGTAGTGGTTTCTTTGCAGCAATTAGACCATGAAGGCCTGATTCACACAGTCTCCTCTGAACAGTTGATGTTGAGATGTCTGTTACTTGAACTCTGTGAAGCATTTATTTGGGCTGCAATTTCTGAGGCTGGTAACTCTAATGAACTTATCCTCTGCAGCAGAGGTAACTCTGGGTCTTCCATTCCTGTGGCGGTACTCATGAGAACCAGTTTCATCATAGCGCTTGATCGTTTTTGCGACTGCACAGTTTTCCAGATTGACTGACCTTCATGTCTTAAAGTAATGATGGACTGTCGTTTCTCTTTGCTTATTTGAGCTGTTCTTGCCATAATATGGACTTGGTCTTTTACCAAATAGGGCTATCTTCTGTATACCACCCCTACCTTGTCACAACAAAATTGATTGGCTCAAACGCATTAATTCCACAAATTAACTTTTAAGAAGGCACACCTGTTAATTGAAATGGATTCCAGGTGACTACCTCATGAAGCTGGTTGAGAGAATGCCAAGGGTGTGCAAAGCTGTCATCAAGGCAAAGGTTACTACATGATTCCATATGTGTTATTTCATAGTTTTGATGTCTTCACTATTGTTCTACAATGTAGAAAATAGAGCAAATTAAGAAAAACCCTTGAATGAGTAGGTGTGTTCAAACTTTTGACTGGTACTCTGTGTATGTATGTGTGTGTGTGTATATATATATATATATATATACACACACACACAGTGAGGGAAAAAAGTATTTGATCCCCTGCTGATTTTGTACGTTTGCCCACTGACAAAGACATGATCAGTCTATAATTTTAATGGTAGGTTTATTTGAACAGTGAGAGACAGAATAACAACAAACAAATCCAGAAAAACGCATGTCAAAAATGTTATAAATTGATTTGCATTTTAATGAGGGAAATAAGTATTTGACCCCTCTGCAAAACATGACTTAGTACTTGGTGGCAAAACCCTTGTTGGCAATCACAGAGGTCAGACATTTCTTGTAGTTGGCCACCAGGTTTGCACACATCTCAGGAGGGATTTTGTCCCACTCCTCTTTGCAGATCTTCTCCAAGTCATTAAGATTTCGAGGCTGACGTTTGTCAACTCGAAACTTCAGCTCCCTCAACAGATTTTCTATGGGATTAAGGTCTGGAGACTGGCTAGGCCACTCCAGGACCTTAATGTGCTTCTTCTCGAGCCACTCCTTTGTTGCCTTGGCCGTGTGTTTTGGGTCATTGTCATGCTGGAATACCAATCCACGAACCACTTTCAATGCCCTGGCTGAGGGAAGGAGGTTCTCACCCAAGATTTGACGGTACATGGCCCCGTCCATCGTCCCTTTGATGCGGTGAAGTTGTCCTGTCCCCTTAGCAGAAAAACACCCCCAAAGCATAATGTTTCCACCTCCATGTTTGACGGTGGGGATGGTGTTCTTGGGGTCATAGGCAGCATTCCTCCTCCTCCAAACATGGCGAGTTGAGTTGATGCCAAAGAGCTCCATTTTGGTCTCATCTGACCACAACACTTTCACCCAGTTCTCCTCTGAATCATTCAGATGTTCATTGGCAAACTTCAGACAGGTATGTATATGTGCTTTCTTGAGCAGGGGGACCTTGCGGGCGCTGCAGGATTTCAGTCCTTCACGGCGTAGTGTGTTACCAATTGTTTTCTTGGTGACTATGGTCCCAGCTGCCTTGAGATCATTGACAAGATCCTCCCGTGTAGTTCTGGGCTGATTCCTCACCGTTCTCATGATCATTGCAACTCCACGAGGTGAGATCTTGCATGGAGCCCCAGGCCGAGGGAGATTGACAGTTCTTTTGTGTTTCTTCCATTTGCGAATAATTTCTTCACCTTCTCACCAAGCTGCTTGACGATGGTCTTGTAGCCCATTCCAGCCTTGTGTAGGTCTACAATCTTGTCCCTGACATCCTTGGGGAGCTCTTTGGTCTTGGCCATGGTGGAGAGTTTGGAATCTGATTGATTGATTGCTTCTGTGGACAGGTGTCTTTTATAAAGGTAACAAGCTGAGATTAGGAGCACTCCCTTTAAGAGTGTGCTCCTAATCGCAGCTCGTTACCTGTATAAAAGACACCTGGGAGACAGAAATCTTTCTGATTGAGAGGGGGTCATACTTATTTCCCTCATTAAAATGCAAATCAATTGATAACATTTTTGACATGCGTTTTTCTGGATGTTTTGTTGTTGTTGTTATTCTGTCTCTCACTGTTCAAATAAACCTACCATTAAAATTATAGACTGATCATGTCTTTGTCAGTGGGCAAACGTACAAAATCAGCAGGGGATCAAATACTTTTTTCCCTCACTAAGACAGGGAATTTTTACTAGGATTAAATGTCAGGAATTGTGTTAAACTTAGTTTAAATGTATTTGGCTAAGGTGTATGTAAACTTCCGACTTCAACTGTATATACACTGAACAAAAATATAAATGCAACAATTTCAAAGATTTTGAGGTACAGTTCATAAAAGGAAATCAGTCAATTGAAATGCATGTATTAAGCCCTAATCTATGGATTTCACATGACTGGGCAGGCTGGGGAGCCAAGCCCAGCCAATCAGAATGAGTTTTTCCCCACAAAAGAGCTTTATTACAGACGAAATACTCCTTAGCACAATCCCCCTCCCCCTCCTCCTCCTCAGACGATCCCACAGGTGAAGAAGCTGGATGTGGCGGTCCTGGGCTGGCGTGGTTACACGTGGTCTGCAGTTGTTAGACCAGTTAGATGTACTGCCAAATTCTCTATAATGATGTTAGAGGCGGCTTATGGTAGAGAAATGAACATTACATTTTCTGGCAACAGCTCTGTTGGACATTCCTGCAGTCAGCATGCCAATTGCTGTGGCATTGTGTTGTGTGACAAAACTGCACATTTTAGAGTGGCCTTTTATTGTTCCCAGCACAAGGTGCACTTGTTTAAGGATCATGCTGTTTAATCAGCTTATTGATATGCCACACCTGTCAGGTGGATGGATTATCTTGGCAGAGAAATGCTCACTAATAGGGATGTACACAAATTTGTGCACAAAGTTTGATAGAAGTAAGCTTTTTGTGCGTGTGGAAAATTTCTGGGAGCTTTTTTTTCAGCTCATGGGACCAACACTTTACATCTTGCGTTTTATATTTTTGTTCAGTATACTTGTAACAAAGTAGAAATAGCCCATATTGAGATACATTAATGATAACTATCACGATTATGTATAGGGTTGAATGCACATGCATCAATCATGTGGAATTGAAAATGAGGGAACAGTTGTGTATCTGGAATAAATGAATGTTGATAAAGGATCTTTGACTACAATGCCTGTTTGTTTGTGTCCATGACAACCAGCTCAACAGGGCAGATTGATCCTCATAAAGTGCCAACAAACAAACTCATCACAATAAATCACTCCAAGTTGAAGTTGTAGTAAAAAAATGTTTTTAATGTTTTTCTCCTTCATTATAGTGAAAGGGTTTTACAAAGCAGTAGTACAGTAACCATTTGTGCACCGCCACTTCTTGCCACTGATATGTGAAACTATGCACTCACTGCAAGGTCACCAGCCACCGTAGCTCTAGTCACGTGGCCGACTGTGTTACACAAAAACACTTTCAAGAGGGATCAGGGGTCAGGTCAGAACCCGTCTCTTCAAGTCTGATTGTCGCTGCTCGCCACCCAGTAAGTGCCGAGGCAGTGGGATGATTATTGAGTACTGATAATGCCTCTGTTGTTGAGGTCAGTGCACAGTGGCTGCCACTCTGGCTGTTCCCTCATTACTATGAATGATTTCAACACAGGTACAGTAAACAACAAACACCACACAATGATGTAGAATATAGGATACAGTAAGGCAAAAAAACAAGATCAAAACATTGTTTTTTTTTTTATGTGCATCTCTGACTGAGTGCTGATTTCCATTCCATAGCTTTCCATTCCTTAGCACCAGTATGTTAGTGATTTTATAGCACCAGATATGTTATACAGTCATCAATGTTCTGTTGAGTATAAAATAATATATTTATTTCTACATACACACGTTCTACTGATCCCACTTCGCATTATGTATAATTCTGAAAGAGAGATGAAAAAATGGAGGAGAGGGGAGATACACTAGAGAAGTAGAGAAAATAAACAAATAGTTGTTTTTTAGTACTGTAGATTATGTGGAATACTGTCAAAAATTAAACAGGAAAAGGGATGGGACAGATGGACAGAGGAGGAGAAGGGTGTAGGGGGTGGAATGTGGACCCTAGAGATGTGGCAATATTTGGGCTGGGGTTCTCTCTGATGTGTCCTATGTTCTCAACAGCCTCCACAGCTCTTCCCACAGCTGCTACCCAGTGACCCACACTGGCCACTCACTGCAGCTACACCACAACGAGAGAACTGGTCACGGCACATGTCAGCTACAAGGAGAAAGAGAGAGAAGGGTTACAAGTTTGCTCCTGTACTGTCCACGTCTGAGTGTGTCTGTGTGTGGGTGTGTGTGTGTGTGTTCGTGCATTTCTTTATTAGGGACAGTGGGTTGTGCACCATAAACAAGAATATTAGGCACACACATGTACGCTAACCTCACCTCTTAGAAGCTCTTCATGCGCACACACGGTCCTGACACACACCTCCTTGTTGATCACATACACCCTTTGCAAGCTGAGGAGAAAGGCACGGGGTTACAGTGTGATATTGAACACTTTATAAATCCACTTTCAATACCCTCATGGTAACAGCTTTAAGGTGCAGTAGCATACCTGTAGAAACAGAGGCTATTCAGACACTGTTTGCATGGCTTGTGAATTGAGTAGAGTCTGGTGCAGGGGTACTGCTCCTCTCTGCAATCTACACAACACGAAACAAGTGAGCCATGCAAGAAAATACATATCGATATCGCAATAATACTTCAACTCAAAGTCAGTCATCCCATCAACCACTTTAACGGGCCTTCCCTTCCTCTCTCTCTTTCCCTATGTTTCTTACCTAGGGGGCCAGGTTCTGTGGGCTCTGTCTCTGGCTCTGGAACACAAAATAGAAACTCCACTCACATTTAAATGGAATACTTCTGTTAATGTGACAAAAGAACAGGACAGTGGATGTAGATGTTGAATAGTAGATAATACATGTTGAACAGTACATAATAATTGTTGAACAGCAGACAATGATAGGTGGACGTACGTACCAGATGGACTAGGACGTTCAGGCCCAGGGAATGGTCGAGGACCCTGTAACAGGACCTGCTGCTGGACATCCGCGTCAGGATTCTCTGACAGGGAGAGAGAGAGAGTTTTTCAGTATATCATCAAAGGGCAGTGAAGCTCTCTACATCAGTTTATCAAAACTGGATAATATTCCTGCAAGGTTTCTTATAGATTCTGCTGAGCAAATTACCCCTTGTGTTACACATATCGTTAATCTCTCTCTTGAACAAGGCATCTTTCCCAGGGACATGAAACACACTAAAGTTATACCTCTGTATAAGAAGGGGATAAAGTCTGACCCTGGGAATTATCGGCCTGTGTCTATCCTCAGTATAACATCAAAGATCCTGGAGAGAGTTGTACATTAGCAAATTTATGAATATGTCAACAAACAAAGTCTAATGTATGATTTTCAGTCGGGTTTTAGAAAGACATACTCCACTGATTCATGTCTACTTTACTTGACTGACTTCATCAGGAAAGAGATTGATTGACCTACAGAAGGCCTTTGACAGTTAATCACTGTCTCCTAATCTCCAAACTGGAGGCACTGTGGTTAAGCAGTATCCCTCTAGGCTGGGTAAAGTCCTATTTATCAGGTAGGGAGCAAGTAGTAGAGGTTAATGGTTCACTGTCTCAGGCAAAACCAATGAGTTGTGTCGTTCCGCAGGGGAGTGTGCTTGGGCCTCTACTGTTTATACTGTATATTAACGATATGAAAGATGCTTGTTCTTGCCGTATTTTCCTTTATGTGGATGACTCTACACTTCTGGCGTCTCACAAAAGTAAAACTATGTTGGAGAGCATACTTAGCACAGAGCTTACTAACATTAGCAAATGGCTTGGAGATAATAAGCTATCTCTGCACTTAGGTAAAACTGAGGCAATTATTTTTGGATCCAGACCTAAATTGAGTAGGTCCTCTGAAATCAGAGTGGAGTTAGGGGGTGAGGTGCTGACTACAAAAACCTCTGTTAGCTACCTGGGATGCATCCTTGATGGAAGCTTGGGAGGTGTGAGCATGGCCACTAAAGTGCTAGGGAAGGTTCATGCCAGGACTAAGTTTTTGTTTAGAAAGTCCAAGCTGCTTGATAAGGACTCCATGAAAGTGCTAGCCACTGCCCTCATTCAATGACATTTTGACTACACTAGTACTTCCTGGTTTGGGGGCTTATCTAAGCTAAGGAAGGGGAAGCTCCAGATAGCCCAGAATAAGCTGATCAGGGTAGTATTGAAGGTGAGTCCACATACTCACATAGGCAGGAGCTGCTTTCAGGAACTCAACTGGCTGCCTGTTGAGGCTAGGGTGTCCCAGATTAGACTGGGTTTGGTTTACAGGAGTATTTATGGTTCTGCGGCCAGATATCTGACTGATTACTTTCCCCGTGTTAGGAATGCACACAATCACAGCACCAGAGAAGGTGTTGCTAATGTGTGCTTATACAGGTTCAGGAGTAAAGCTGGAAAAGGTACTTTCTTGTATACTGGAGCCTCAGAGTGGAATGAGTTGCCTCCGCCCATAAAAACGATGTCCTCTCTGGGCAGCTTTAAAAATTAAGTAAAGAACTGTTTGATGTCTTCTGTGCCCATATCAATGACACCTATGATGTAACTGCAATGATGAGATAGATGTTCTTCTTCTTTGTTTTTAGTTTTATTATCTCGTTGTCATAATGTGTTCAACCGTGTTCGATCTTGCCTAGCCATCTTGTTTCAAGAGGACCACAATTGAAATACAGTGCCTTGCAAAAGTATTCATCCCCCTTGGCATTTTTCCTATTTTGTTGCATTACAACCTGTAATTTAAATGGATTTGATTTTGTGATTTCATGTAATGGACATACACAAAATAGTCCAAATTGGTGAAGTGAAATGAAAAAATTACTTGTTTCAAAACATTCTACAAAATAAATGACGGAAAAGTGGTGTGTGCATATGTATTCACCCCCTTTGCTATGAAGCCCCTAAATAAGATCTGGTGCAACCAATTACCTTCAGAAGTCACATAATTTGTTAAATAAAGTCCACCTGTGTGCAATCTAAGTGTCACATTATTCATTACGTCATTTAGCAGACGCTCTTATCCAGAGCGACTACAGTTAGTGCAGAGTTTTTTCAAGGGCCCCCAATCGACCCACACCGGCGTGCAACGCCATGCTCTACCAAGAGCTACCTCCCTCGGCCATCCTCCCTACCTGGACATGGGCAATTGTGCGCCGCCCATGTCTCCCGGTGCGCCGGCTAAGCAGAGCCTGGATACGAACCAGGATCTTAGTGGCACAACACTGGATGCAGTGCCTTAGACCACTCCACTCGGAGGTACACACCCACCGACCCACACATACACAAACACACACACAAACACTCCACAAACACAGTGGCTCTCTCTACAGGAGGGTAGCTACAGGCACCATGCCAGGTAAACAATCCTCAAGCCGTAGGTGCTCACTGCAGAGAGACGGGAAAGACAGCTCACTCTGATACTCCAACCTAGAAAAGTAGTCAATAATGTTGAAAGAGAGCATATACTGAGGTTAGGTTGTGTGTGTTTTACAGGGTTCTACCACAGAGTTGCTCAGAGTACAGATATTACGCATTTTGCTGCATTTAGCACTGCACATTCTATCATAGAAAGTCATCATATTTCCCCACAGGAGCCGTGATTCAAACACAGTTAAGTCTCACAAAATGAGAACGTGTTCACCTGCAAACTGAGGTGGCTACAGCCGGCACTAACTATCCTCCACACGTAGCACCCCCTCAGGCATTAAGACTAGGGCCACAGACAACTCCCCTGTCTCCTTCCTGATAACTGACAGGTTCTTCAGTACTGAGCACCAATGAGAGAGAGAGAGAGAGAGAGAGAGAGAGAGAGAGAGAGAGAGAGAGAGAGAGAGAGAGAGAGAGAGAGAGAGAGAGAGTGAGAACCAAGGACATCAACAGCATGTTCTGGTAGAGAGAGAGATGACCCCTGGCCATCCTGAGGCATCTGGTTTGTCTGGGTAAGCCACGCACACACCTAATGACTGCAGCCCTCTACCTGCCGTGTGTGTGTGTGTGTGTGTACGGTGTGTACAGTGCTGTGAAAAAGTATTTGCCCCCTTTCTAATCCTCTCCACCCTGTACACTTTTGATACCGAATGTCATCAGATCTTCAACCAAAACCCAATATTAGGCAAAGGGAACCTGAGTGAACAAATAACACAACAATTACATACTTATTTGATCTATTTCATAAACAACATTTATGCAACACCCAATGCCCCTGTGTGAAAAAGAAATTGCCCCCTTACACATGTCGTCCAAACAGTTATACTTTTGACTCATTTGTCCATATAACATTCTTCCAAGAGTCTTGATGATCATCCAGGTGCTTCCAGGTGCTTTTTGGCAAACTTGAGTCAACTTTTTGGATGAGATGCGTCCCATTATGTCTGCCGATATCTAAACACTGCATTCCACAGTAAGAACCTCATACCAACAGTCAAGCATGGTGGTGGTGGTGTGATGGTTTGGATATGCTTTGCTGCCTCTACTTGCCTTAATAAAAGGAACCATGAATTCTGCTCTGTATCAGATAATTCTACAGGAGAATGTCAGGCCATCCATCTGTGAGCTGAAGCTGAAGCGAAGCTGAGTCATGCAGCAATACAATGATCCAAAACACATAATCAAGTCTACATGAAAATTGCTAAAAAACAAACAAATCTGAAGTTTTGGAATGGCCTAGTCAAAGTCCAGACCTAATCCCAATTGAGATTTTGTGGCAGGACTTGAAATTAGCAGTTCATGCTTGGAAACCCACAAATGTCGCTGAGTTAAAGCAGTTCTGCATGCAAGAGTGGGCCAAAATTCCTCCACAGCGATGTGAGAGACTGATCAACAACTACAGGAAGCATTTGGTTGCAGTAATTGCAGCTAAAGGTGGCACAACCAGTTATTGAGTGTAAGGGGGCAATTACTTTTCACACAGGAGAATTGGGTGTTGTACAACATTGTTAATTACATAAATAAAAAAAGTATACATTGTTGTTGTTATTTGTAAACTCAGGTTACCTTCATCTAATATTAGGCCTTGGCCGAAGATCTGACGACATTCAGCATCAAAAACATGCATAAATTGAGAAAATCAGAAAGGGGGCAAACACTTTATCACGGCACTGTATGTGTGTGTGTCCTCTAAATCATCAATTCAAATCAAATGTTATTGGTCACATACACATATTTAGCAGTTGATATTGCCGGTGTAGCGAAATGCTTGTGTTCCTAGCTCCCACAGTGCAGTAGTATCTAACAATTCACAACAAATGAGGGAGGTGTTTTATCCCGGATTATGGACAGGGAATAACAATAGGCTAATAAACTACTGGGCCTCGTCAGAGCAGAGCTAACATCAGATGAGGGCTGAGTCTGTTCTCCATGCTAAGGAGACCAGAGGTGAGGAGCTGAAAACAATGCTACTTTACTTTGAGTTATTGATGTACAAATTGTTTTCAAGTGCACATAACTGTTGCATACTGTTTACAGAATCCTATGCACTAGATGGATACTTGTCTTCATTGTAAAAGTTCATTGTTGAAGACGACTTGAGTAATATCCAGACAAGACAGTGAGCATGGCCTTGAAGCCCAACAGATTTTGAAACATTGCAAAACAGCTCAGAGCCCAGGCAGTATGGAACTCCTGATCTCAACATATCCTAAGCCTTTGCCTAAACCAGCCATGATCTGAAGATGTGGTTGCATGGGCCTCTAGCCACCCCCCCCCCCCCCCCCCCCCCCTCCCCCCACTTCCCCCTCCTCTTCCTCCTCCTCACATTGCACGGTGCATGGCGATCCTGAGCGGACCTTAGTACTGTCTGGTGTTCTGCAGTGGAGATTAGTAATCATCCAGGGTGTGCATATTGATGGCCAGACTCGGTCATCATGATCTGTCACATGATCTCAGTAAATATATACACCTGTTCTGAAGGCCACAGAGTCTGCAACACCACTAAGCAAGGGGCACCACCAAGCAAGCGGCACCATGAAGACCAAGGAGCTCTCCAAAACAGGTTCAGGGGACAAAGTTGTGGAGAAGTACAGATCAGGGTTGGGTTATACAAAAATATCTGAAACTTTGAACATCCCCACGGAGCACCATTAAATCCATTATACATTTTTTAAAAGAATATGGCGCCACAACAAACTGCCAAGAGAGGGCCGCACACCAAAACTCACGGACCAGGCAAGGAGGGCATTAATCAGAGAGGCAACAAAGAGACCAAAGATAACCCTGAAGGAGCTGCAAAGCTCCACAGCGGAAATTGGAGTATCTGTCCATTGGACCACTTTAAGCCGTACACTCCACAGAGCTGGGCTTTACGGAAGAGTGGCCAGAAAAAAGCCATCGCTTAAAGAAAAAAATAGCAAACACGTTTGGTGTTCGACAAAAGGCATGTGGGAGACTCCCCAAACATATGGAAGAAGGTACACTGGTCAGATGAGACTAAAATTGAACTTTTTGCCATCAAGGAAAACGCTATGTCTGGCGCAAACCCAACACCTCTCATCACCCCGAGAACACCATCCCCACAGTGAAGCATGGTGGTGGCAGCATCATGCTGTGGGGATGTTTTTCATCGGCAGGGACTGGGAAACTGGTCAGAATTGAAGGAACGATGGATGGTTCTAAATACAGGGAAATTCTTGAGGGAAACCTGTTTCTGTCCTCCAGAGATTTGAGACTGGGACGGAGGTTTACCTTCCAGCAGGACAATGACCCTAAGCATACTGCTAAAGCAACACTCGAGTGGTTTAAGGGGAAACATTTAAATGTCTTGGAATGGCCTAGTCAAAGCCCAGACCTAAATCCAATTGAGAATCTGTGGTATGACTTAAAGATTGCTGTACACCAGCGGAACCCATCTAACTTGAAGGAGCTGGAGCAGTTTTGCCTTGTGGAATGCTGCAAAAGGTGGCTCTACAAGGTATTGACTTTGGGGGGGGGTGAATAGTTATGCACGCTCAAGTTTGCGTTTTTTCTGTTGTTATATTTCTTGTTTGTTTCGCAATAAAAAATATTTTGCATCTTCAAAGTGGTTGGCATGTTGTGTAAATCCCTCCCTCCCCCACCCACCCATATATATATTTTTTTTTAAAGTGGTTGTCCCACTGGCTATCATAAGTTGAATGCACCAATTTGTAAGTCGCTCTGGATAAGAGCGTCTGCTAAATGATGTAAATGTAAATCAAATGATACAAACCCCCCCAAAAATCCAATTTTATTTCCAGGTTGTAAGGCAACAAAATAGGAAAAATGCCAAGGGGGGTGAATTCTTTCGCAAGCCACTGTAAGTCCCAGACTTTATTGTGTGTTAGCCTCGATGATTTTACTCATGTGCATGTATGGCTTTTTCAAGTTTTATGTGTGCTTGTTTTTTTAAATGGTTGAATTATTAAACTAGTAATAGTAATATAGGTAACAAGATCACACAAGTATCTTACCTGGAAAATAATCAGGGTCATAGTCCTCTGTGAAGCCAAATGAACAAAGGTACAGTATGAGACATGCTTTTGTTACATTGACTGGTAACATATTGTGAGAAACTTACAGCAGACAGACAGACAGACAGAGATACAGACAGGCAAGCAAACCTATATGTGTGACAGATGACTAACAGAGATCTACTCAAGCACAGTGGGGTTTTCACATAAAACGTTGCAAATGTTGCAAGGGTATAACATCGACCACCTGCTTTCAAAATTGAGAGGAAACGTACAGGAGATTGTCTTTTTGCATGACTTCATATTCAAGATGTTAGCAAATGATGAGATAGTAAGTGGTCACTGAAGAATTTACAAATTACATTATTTACACTACATGACCAAAAGAACGTGGATACCTGCACGTCAAACATCTTGGGCAGTAACATGGAGTTGGTCCCCCCTTTGCTGCTATAACAGCATCCACTCTTCTGGGAAGGCTTTCCACTAGATGTTGGAACATTTCTGCGGGGACATGCTTCCATTCAGCCACAAGAGCATTAGTGAGGTCGGGCACTGATGTTGGGCGATTAGGCCTGGCGATTAGTACGCGTTCCAATTCATCCCAAAGGTGTTAGATGGGGTTGAGGTCAGGGCTCTGTGCAGGCCAGTCAAGTTCTTCCACACCGATCTCGACAAACCATTTTTGTATGGGCCTCGCTTTGTGCATGGGGGCATGCTTCAACAGGAAATTGCCTTCCCCAAACTGTTGCCAAAAAGTTGGAAGCACAGAATCTTCTAGAATGTCATTTTATGCTGTAGCATTAAGATTTCCCTTCACTGGAACTAAGGGTCCTAGCCCAAACCATGAAAAATAGCCCCAGAACATTAGTCCTCCTCCACCAAACTTTACAATTGGTACTATGCATTGGGGCAGGTAGCGTTCTCTTGAACATCCACCAAACACAGATTTGTCCGTCGGACTACCAGATGGTGAAGCGTGATTCATCACTCCAGAGAACACGTTTCCACTGCTCCAGAGTCCAATGGCGGCGAGATTTACACCACTCCAGCCGACGCTTGGCATTGCACATGGTGATCTTAGGCTTGTGTGCGGCTGCTTGGCCATGGAAACCCATTTCATGAAGCTCCCAACGAACAGTTCTTGTGCTGATGTTGCTTCCAGAGGCAGTTTGGAACTCGGTAGTGAGTGCTGCAACCAAGGACAGACAATTTTTACGCGCAACACGTTTCAGTCATCGGTGGTCCCGTTCTGTGAGCTTGTGTGGCCTACCACGTCGCGGCTGAGACGTTTTTGCTCCTAGAGGTTTCCACTTCACAATAACAGCACTTACAGTTGACCGGGGCAGCTCTAGCAGGGCAGACATTTTACGAACTGACTTGTTGGAAAGGTGGCATCCTATGACGATGCCACGTTGAAAGTCACTGAGCTCTTCAGTAAGGCCATTCTACTGCCAATGTTTGTCTATGGAGATTGCATGGCTCTGTGTTCGATGTTATACACCTGTCAGCAACGGTTGTGGCTGAAATAGCCAAATCCACTAATTTGAAGGGGTGTCCACATACTTTTATATATTTTTTATTTATTTTAATTTTATTAATTTAAACATTTATTTTACCAGGTAAATTGACTGAGAACACATTCTCATGTACAGCAATGACCTGGGGAATAGTTACAGGGGAGAGAGGGCGGATGAATGAGCCAATTGTAGCCGGCCGCGACCGGGAGACCCATGGGGCGGCACACAATTGGCCCTGCGTCGTCCAGGGGAGGGAATGGCCGGCAGGGATGTAGCTCAGTTGGTAGTTGGTAGGGTTGTGGGTTCGATTCCCACGGGGGGCCAGTATGAAAAATAAAATAAATGTATGCACTCACTAACTGTAAGTCACTCTGGATAAGAGCGTCTGCTATATGACTAAAATGTAAAATGTAATTGGAAATGTATAAGGTCTTCTCTCTCCTCCTCAGTGTCAGTCTACCTCCACACAGAGAGCGACCATGAGAGTCTTCCTACTGCTCTCCATGCCATACACAGGACATGAAGTGTTTCCATCTACCTGGTAAAATTGAACATTTGACATGGTATACCCTCTGGGTGGGTAGACAAAAGACACGTGAAATAATGACTAGATGTGGAGAGACCGTACTGAGTCACGGTATGTTTGCACACGTGGACAGACAGTGTAATGATGACATGGATGAACTCACCCAGGAAAGGAAAGTGTTCTTGGTAGAGGGGGGGCTGGGCTAGCAGAAGGACTGTTGAGGCAAAGTTAGCTAAATGTTTAGGCAAAGGTGCTGGACAAGTGTTTTGTGGTGTTGTTAAGCACAATGTGAAAAACAGTATTGTATAGAATGTGTATTGGGTTGGTCTATTGTTGTGTGTACACTACAGTAGAGTTGTGTATATTATATAGTGTTCAGTGTGAGTGTGCTAGACTCACCTGGCATGGAGAGCAGTAGGAGGACTCTCATGGTCGCTCTCTGTGTGGAGGTAGACTGACCTTGAGGAGGAGAGAGAATACCTTATACATTTTCAAAGGGGTTACTGATTCCAAGTGATATAGAGAGATCTAGTGTTTACGTGTCATAGATGTATTTCTATGTCACTTTTCAGAATCCCAACTGTGACATTCTTTTACCCATGGGCCTCTTGTATTTTCCCTTCCATCTCTCCTGTCTTGCATTCTAGCCTCACCTCTTCCCGTTCTCTTTTACCCTGGACTCACCTCTCCTCCTCCTCCTCCTCCTCCTCCACTCTCTTCTCCATTCTGCCCTCCCCTGGCCCCAAACAGTCAAGGGGAAAAATGAAAACTTTGACAGCAAGAATGTGGCACGTCTGTCTTTCTTAACAATCCCTCTGTTTTTCTAATTTTCTCTGTTCCACTGCGAAACGCTCTAAAGCAGACAGACCAGGGGCTAAATTCCAGGAAAAGAACCACTGAGCCCCTCCACCCCACCCTCCCCCATCTTTCATATCCCTCTCTCCACGTCTCTCATTTTCCCTCTGTCACCCTCTGTCATATCCCTGAACCACTCCCCCTCTCACCTATCTCTCTCTCTCTCTCTCTCTCTCTCTCTCTCTAATAAGCAGAGAGCACTTTTCTTGTAGAATGAGCAAATACTCCTCCGCTTCTGCTTAACTGTACTGCACACAATCACAGTTCAGCCTATGTGAGTTTTTGTGCACTGAGTGTGTTATCGTGTGATCATCAGTGTGTGTATGTGTGAGTGTCATCACATGTGATGTTTCATACTATGAGGTGTGGTGTGTGGCCTACATGTGCATATGCTTGGCTGTAATGTGTGAGTTTACATGTATGTATGAAGGTATATGTCACCAAAGTGTGTGTGTGTGTGTGTGTGTGTTCAGACATTCCTCTTGTGCATCACAGTGGCTATCGGAAACCATATGTTTTCACAGCACACATCTGGGAGCTATTACACCCCCCTCCTCAACCCCATTTCATTTCTCCCCCCTCCCCAGCCCTCACTGACCCCCTCCCCCAAAGCATAGGGACTTGGGAACAACTCCACCATGAAAGGGGAGAGCCCCATATCTCCTTATCCTTCCTCTCATTCCTACTAAACACAGTTTGTTTGTTTTCAAGCGCTATGTAAAAAAACAAAAAAAACATGAATATAATTTCTCCCCCTGCCTCTAATCCCCTCCCCTCTCGCTCTTTTTCTAAGCACAATACACTTATTTTTCTTTCCTTTCGCTTTTCTCTCGTTTTATTTATGTTGGCCAGCCCCTCTCCATTGTATTGTCATGGCCCCCAGCTATAACCCCACCCCCTGGAGTGCAGATTGCCCCTCTCCAGTAAAAACAGACAACCAATAGACAACCTCAAGTCAGTTTAGAACAATCTTCACATAAAGTACCATTCTGAATAAATGAAATTATTAAAATACCTGTCCAATAACTACATTCCATAAGACCCAATCATGTCGTGAATTGCAAGGAAAATACAAAAGATTAGTTTATAGAAAGTTGACAGGTCACAACTGCTTGCATTGACCATGCTTTTATTGAACTTGGAGAGTTTGCATGATTTGATAAAAGTTGTAGAGGTAGGCTATAACTTCCAGTACTGATGATGGATACATTCAGTATAAGCATATTTCAAATAACTGATAAGTGATTCATATCGCACACCACCATGACAAAACACCTCCACAACTCTGTAGCCTACCTACTACTCCCTTGACCTTGGATGAAGTCAAATATTACAATTCATCAAAATAAGCGCACATGATTACAAATACACTTATTCTGTGTTTTTGCAATTATTTAATATGTAGATATATTCGTTTTAACAACTTGCATCAATTTGTAGCTCTTACCTCTATTTCCCTTTGCTCCGGCGATCCGCAAGTCTCATGCGTCCTACTTCAGCACGGTCTGACCGAGCGACACATTGTAGCGCTCCGCCTTCAAGCCCCCTCTCCCCGCCTCTGTCTGTCCCATCGCCCACTCCCGCCAATCCCAGTCAGGAGACCATGGCACTGACTGACTGCACATAAACCCCCTAACCCTTCAGGATGGATAAATAGGTTTGAAAGCATTAGACTGTAGACATGATTGATTCCAGTGGCCCATTTTTGTTCTCCCTTTTCACTCTGTGCATGTCTCTCTACTCCAGGATGTCTGTGAAAGGTTGACACCTAGAGGACATGGATTGCAATTCCACACACGTATATGACACAGGGCACTACCCTAGACTCTGCGATATGATGTAGATGCAGAATGTAAACAGCAAAGTGTATTGTCATGGCCCCCAGCAACAACTAAAAGCGATGAAGCACGAGGCTCAAGTGCTCCGCTGTTTTGGTCCCCTGACTACCACGCTGTATGCAGCGTAAAGTGAACCCGTACACATGCGCAGATACTGTGTGTGACTGTGAGAGCAGTGTTGCATCTCGCTCATCTCAATATCTCTGGTCCTGCTCATGACATCATTTTGCGAAGTCTACCTTTAAAAAGCACAATACATTAAAAAGGCATGGTAGATTAGATACTGATCCTGCAGGACTGAGAACCATAACACACAAGTTTAATAATCAGAGTAGGGCTTTATTGTTTTGTTGTGCTGACCCTAAAACCCATCAACATTCAAATGCTATACATGATTCTTCAGCACTCCCCAATTAATGTGATGTTAAAAGGCCATAACTATTATTAACAGAATAGAACAGACAGAACCTTTGATCACAAGCAGGCATAATAACCAGGGATACAATGGCAGGCATTAAAGCATTGGATTTATTATACATTAAAACAAAGACTCCCGTTATATATACAGTATCAGTCAAAAGTTTGGACACACCTATTCATTAAAGGGTTTTTCTTTATTTTTACTATTTTCTACATTGTAGAATAATAGTGAAGACATCAAAACTATGAAATAATACAAATGGAATCATGTAGTAACCAAAAGAAATGTTAAACAAATCAAAATATATTTTATATTTGAGATTCTTCAAAGTAGCCACCCTTTGCCTTGATGACAGATTTTCACACTCTCAACCAGCTTCATGAGGTAGTCACCTGGACTGCATTTCAATGAACAGGTGTGCCTTGTTAAAAGTAAATTTGTGGAATGTCTTTCCTTCATAATGCATTTGAGCCAATCAGTTGTGTTGTGACAAGGTAGGGTTGGTATACAGAAGATAGTATTTTACCAAATAGGGCTAAGTCCATATTATGGCAAGAACAGCTCAAACAAGCAAAGAGAAATGACAGTCCATCATTACTTTAAGACATGAATGTCAGTCAATCCAGAAAATTAAGAACCTGGAAAGTTTCTTCCAGTGCAGTCGCAAAAACCATCAAGCGCTATGTTGAAACTGGCTCTCATGAGGACCGCCACAGGAAAGGAAGACCCAGAGTTACCTCTGCTGCAGAGGATTAGTTCATTAGAGTTACCAGCCTCAGAAATTGCAGCCCAAATAAATGCTTCACAGAATTCAAGTAACAGACACATCTCAACATCAACTGTTCAGAGGAGACTGCGTGAATCAAGCCTTCATGGTCAAATTGCTGCACAGAAACCACTACTAAAGGACACCAATAAGAAGAAGAGACTTGCTTGGGCCAAGAATCACGAGCAATGGACATTAGACTGGTGGAAATCTGTCCTTTGGTCTGATGAGTCCAAATTTGAGATTTTTGGTTCCAACCACTGTCTTCGTGAGACGCAGAGTAGGTGAACGGATAATCTCCGCATGTGTGCTTTTCACCGTGAAGCATGGAGGAAGTGGTGTGATAGTGCTTTGCTGGTGACACTGTCTGTCATTTAATTAGAACTTAACCAGCATGGCTATCTGCAGCAATACGCCATCCCATCTGGTTTGCGCTTAGTGGAACTATAATTTGTTTTTCAACAGGACAATGACCCAAAACACACCTATAGGCTGAGTGATGGAGTACTGCATCAGATGACCTGGCCTCTACAATCCCGACCTCAACCCAATTGAGATGGTTTGGGATGAGTTGGACTGCAGAGTGAAGGAAAAGCAGCCAACAAGTGCTCAGCATATGTGGGAACTCCTTCAATACTGTTGGAAAAGCATTCCAGGTGAAGCTGGTTGAGAGAATGCTAAGAGTGTGCAAAGCTGTCAAAGGCGAAGGGTGGCTATTTGAAGAATCTCAAATATAAAATATATGTTGATTTTTTAAACACTTTTTTGGTTGCTACATGATTACATACAGTGAGGGAAAAAAGTATTTGATCCCCTGCTGATTTTGTACGTTTGCCCACTGACAAAGACATGATCAGTCTATAATTTTAATGGCAGGTTTATTTGAACAGTGAGAGACAGAATAACAACAACAAAATCCAGAAAAACGCATGTCAAAAATGTTATAAATTGATTTGTATTTTAATGAGGGAAATAAGTATTTGACCCCTCTGCAAAACATGACTTAGTACTTGGTGGCAAAACCCTTGTTGGCAATCACAGAGGTCAGACATTTCTTGTAGTTGGCCACCAGGTTTGCACACATCTCAGGAGGGATTTTGTTCCACTCCTCTTTGCAGATCTTCTCCAAGTCATTAAGGTTTTGAGGCTGACGTTTGGCAACTCGAACCTTCAGCTCCCTCCACAGATTTTCTATGGGATTAAGGTCTGGAGACTGGCTAGGCCACTCCAGGACCTTAATGTGCTTCTTCTTGAGCCACTCCTTTGCTGAAATACCCATCCACGACCCATTTTCAATGCCCTGGCTGAGGGAAAGAGGTTCTCACCCAAGATTTGACAGTACATGGCCCCGTCCATCGTCCCTTTTATGTGGTGAAGTTGTCCTGTCCCCTTAGCAGAAAAACACCCCCAAAGCATGTTTCCATCTCCATGTTTGACGGTGGGGATGGTGTTCTTGGGGTCATAGGCAGCATTCTTCCTCCTCTAAACACGGCGAGTTGAGTTGATGCCAAAGACCTCGATTTTGGTCTCATCTGACCACAACACTTTCACCCTGTTCTCCTCTGAATCATTCAGATGTTCATTGGCAAACTTCAGACGGCCCTGTATATGTGCTTTCTTGAGCAGGGGGACCTTGCGGGCGCTGCAGGATTTCAGTCCTTCATGGCGTAGTGTGTTACGAATTGTTTTCTTGGTGACTATGGTCCCAGCTGCCTTGAGATCATTGACAAGATCCTCCCGTGTAGTTCTGGGCTGATTCCTCACCGTTCTCATGATCATTGCAACTCCACGAGGTGAGATCTTGCATGGAGCCCCAGGCCGAGGGATATTGACAGTTATTTTGTGTTTCTTCCATTTGCGAATAATCGCACCAACTGTTGTCACCTTCTAACCAAGCTGCTTGGCAATGGTCTATTAGCCCATTCCAGCCTTGTGTAGGTCTACAATATTGTCCCTGACATCCTTGGAGAGCTCTTTGGTCTTGGTCATGGTGGAGAGTTTGGAATCTGATTGATTGATTGCTTCTGTGGACAGGTGTCTTTTATACAGGTAACAAGCTGAGATTAGGAGCACTCCCATTAAGAGTGTGCTCCTAATCTCAGCTCGTTACCTGTATAAAAGACACCTGGGAGCCTGAAATCTTTCTGATTGAGAGGGGGTCAAATACTTATTTCCCTCATTAAAATGCAAATCAATTCATAACATTTTTGACATGCGTTTTTCTGGATTTTTTTGTTGTTATTCTGTCTCTCACTGTTCAAATAAACCTACCATTAAAATTATAGACTGATAATTTCATTGTCAGTGGGCAAACGTACAAAATCAGCAGGGGATCAAATACTTTTTTCCCCTCACTGTATGTGTTATTTCATAGTTTTGATGTCTTCACAATTTATTCTGGGCTCCCGAGTGGCGCAGTGGTCTAAGGCACTGCATCTCAGTGCTTGAGGCGTCACTACAGACCCCCTGGTTCGATTCCAGGCTGTATCACAACCGGCCGTGATTGGGAGTCCCATAGGGCTGCGCACAATTGGCCCAGCGTCGTCCGGGTTTGGCCGGTGTAGGCCGTCATTGTAAATAAGAATTTGTTCTTAACTGACTTGCTTAGTTAAATAAAGGTAAAATAAAATAAAAACATTCTACAATATAGTAAAAATAATGAAAAACCCTTGAATGAGTAGGTGTCCGAACTTTTGACTGGTACTTTATCTAGTTATGATTAAAGCGCTACAGATCATATACATATTCATTGTCTGTGAATCCATCACGCTCTGAACTCAACCCAACCCACACGAGACCAAACAATGGGGATGAACAAAGGAATGCACCATCATTCTAGTGAAGTCAGCAGGTCATGTCTCACACATACATCTCTCCCTCTCTCCCTCCCTCCCGTTCCCTTGGAGTCCAATGTCAGTCAGTAGTGCTGGAGTGTGGAGCTGTTGAAGTTCACATGCCCAGCAGACGTCACTGGTAGGGCATCTTAATTGTAGTATAATTAAAAGGGCGGGCCGGGGTTCAAGCAACAGCTGATTTATTCTCCTTGTAAGTGGCCATCATCTTCTTAATCTCTGCAATCGCCTTCCCTGGGTTCAGGCCCTGTTAGAGTAGGAGAGAGCGGTGATTAATTTGACTACAATGAGAAAGTAGAAGAGAGTGCTAGTGAGCAGTGAAGCTTACAGTTTACCCTTAGAAGGGTGGAGTAATGTTGTTTATTAGACTGAGGTTACCTTGGGGCAGGTCTTAGTGCAGTTCATGATGGTGTGACAGCGGTATAGGGAGAAAGGATCCTGTAGCTTGGACAGACGCTCCTCTGTGAACTCGTCTCGCGAGTCGATCATCCAACGGTAGGCCTGGAGAATGACAGACGTGAGCTCAAACAGTCCAAGGTGCACTACGCACATTCACTCATCAGTGTCCCGTTGATCAAAATACAACAACTCTAATCAAAAGTTCCCACTCAAACTAGTCTAAACTAGAATACACAAAAGCACAGGCCTGCATAAGAACAGCAGGTCCCAAGTACTTGTCTCCATTCCACCAGTAGCTGGGGCAGCTGGTGCTGCAGCACGCACACAGGATACATTCATACAGCCCGTCCTGACAGGGAGAGACAGGACAGTAAGAAGGAGAACACAGACATTTTCACAAAATGGACACAGTTGCAGCACTCTGTTCAACCATCTAAATTCTGCTCATTGTCAATGAACCAGAAGTAATTCGGGTGTACCAGTTTTTTTCTGTCCTCCACAGTCTGATGGTACTGTTCCTTTCCCTCATTTGTCTCATCCTTCTTCTTCAGGTAGGGCTCAATCGACTTGTATTGAGCATAGAAATTACTCATGTCCTGCAACCAAAACATAACTCCATCACAAACTCACTCCAATTTTAATGTGGGATTGACAATTGAAATCTATGGTGGACAAAAGAATATAGCCAGTTTGTTGACGAGCTTGTATGGAATGTGATTATACTCACAGGGACCAGATCTTTGACCACGTACATGTGTGGCAGAGGGTAGATCTTGGTAGCCTTGCTGGTGTTGGTGTCAATCTTGTTCAGACAGGCTAGTGTGTTGCCTCCATTGATGTTCATTGCACAGGATCCACAGATACCTGCACCATTGCAAACACACAGATACACGCATACAAACCCTGCATTACTCACATATGAAGTTGTAAAAGGAACGGATACATGTTATTTTTCCTTGACTGGGGCATATCCATCGGAGGATAGTCAGTCACTAGAATAAACTAAGCTGCTCTGGTATCACCCCTGGACAACCTGTTCTAAGATAATTCCATCCTGGACACACTTTCCAACCTTCCCGCTATCTAAATTCCTAACGTAACAAAAACACAGTAAACCAACATTTAAGAACACTAATCCCAGCTCTTCTCTCACTCCTCAAAGAACATCTAGGGATTCACCTCTAGAATCATTCCAACCATTTCATCTATTCATCAGTATCCACAAACTAACCCCACTTCCCTTCCCACACTGACCCTCTCTGCAGGAGCGACGGAAGGTCAGAGTGCCGTCCATCTCATTCTTTATCTTGATGAGGGCGTCCAATACCATGGGGCCACAGCTGTGGAAAGGAGGGAAGCAGACAGTCCACTTATTGTTTTTTAAGAACCACATCTGTACACTGAAGATGTATGACAACAGGAGACACATATACTGAACAAAAATATAAAACGCAACAATTTCAAAGATTTTACAGAGTTAGTTCATATAAGGAAATCAGTCAATTGAAATAAATTCATAGGCCCTAATCTATGGATTTCAGTTGACTGGGCAGGGGAACAACCATGGGTGGGCATAGGCCCACCCACTTGGGAGCCAGACCCATCCACTGGGGAGCCAGGCCCAGCCAATCAGAATGCGTTTTTTCCCACAAAAGGGATTTATTACAGACAGAAATAGGCCTCAGCACCCCCTCAGACGATCCCACAGGTGAAGAAGCCGGATGTGGAGGTCCTGGGCTGGCGTGGTTTTACGTGGTCTGCGGTTGTGAGGCCGGTTGGACGTACTGCTAAATTCTCTAAAGGCGGCATATGGTAGAGAAACGAACATTCAATTCTCTGGCAACAGCTCTGGTGGACATTCCTGCAGTCAGCATGCCAATTGCACGCTCCCTCAAAACTTCAGACATCTGTGGTATTGTGTTGTGTGACAAAACTGCACATTTTAAAGTGCCTTTTTAATTGTCCCCAGCACACGGTGCACCTGTGTAATGATCATGCTGTTTAATCAGTATCTTGATATGCCACACCTGTCAGGTGGATGGATTATCTTGGCAAAGGAGAAATGCTCACTAACAGGGATGTAAAGACATTTGTGCTCAAAATTTGAGAGAAATAAGCTTTTGGTACGTATGGACAATTTCTTGGATCTTTTATTTCAGCTTATGAAACAGGGGACCAACACTTTACAGTACCAGTCAAAAGTTTGGACACCTACTCATTCAAGGGTTTTTCTTTATTTTTATTATTTTTTAAATTGTAGAACAATAGTAAAGACATCAACACTATTAAATAACACATATGGAATCATGTAGTAACCAAAAAAGTGTTCAACAAATCAAAATATATTTTATTTTTGAGATTCTTCAAATAGCCACCCTTTGCCATGATGACAGCTTTGCACACTCTTGGCATTCTCTCAACCAGCTTCATGAGGTAGTCACCTGGAATGCATTTCAATTAACAGGTGTGCCTTCTTAAAAAGTTAATTTGTGGAATTTCTTTCCTTCTTAATGAGTTTGAGCAAATCAGTTGTGTTGTGACAAGGTAGAGGTGGTATACAGAAGATAGCCCTACTTCGTAAAAGACCAAGTCCATATTATGGCAAGAACAGCTCAAATAAGCAAAGAGAAACTACAGTCCATCATTACTTTAAGACATGAAGGTCAGTCAATCCGGAAAATTTCAAGAACTTGGAAAGTTTCTTCAAGTGCAGTCGCAAAAACCATCAAGCGCTATGATGAAACTGGCTCTCATGAGGACTGCCACAGGAACGGAAGACCCAGAGTTACCTCTGCTGCAGAGGATAAGTTCATTAGAGTTACCAGCCTCAGAAATTGCAGCCCAAATAAATGCTTCACAGAGTTCAAGTAACAGACACATCAACATCAACTGTTCAGAGGAGACTGCGTGAATCAGGCCTTCGTGGTCTAATTGCTGCAAAGAAACCACTACTAAAGGACACCAATAAGAAGAAGAGACTTGCTTGAGCCAAAAAACACTAATCAATGGACATTAGACCGGTGGAAATCTGTCCTTTGGTCTGATGAGTCCAAATTTGAGATTTTTGGTTCCAACCGCCGTGTCTTTGTGAGACGCAGAGTAGGTGAACGGATTATCTCCGCATGTGTGGTTCCCACCGTGACGCATGGAGGAGGAGGAGGTGTGGGGGGTGCTTTGCTGGTAAAACTGTCAGTGATTTATTTTGAATTCAAGGCACACTTAACCAGCATGGCTACCACAGCATGCTGCAGCGATACGCCATCCCATCTGGTTTGCGCTTAGTGGGACTAGCATTTGTTTTTCAACAGGACAACGAACCAAAACACACCTACAGGCTGTGTAAGGGCTATTTGACCAAGAAGGAGAGTGATGGAGTGCTGCATCAGATGACCTGGCCTCCACAATCACCCGACCTCAACCCAATTGAGATGGTTTGGGATGAGTTTGACTGCAGAGTGAAGGAAAAGCAGCCAACAAGTGCTCAGCATATGTGGGAACTCCTTTAAGACTGTTGGAAAAGCATTCAAGGTGAAGCTGGCTGAGAGAATGCCAAGAGTGTGCAAAGCTGTCATCAAGGCTACTTTGAAGAATCTAAATATATTTATTTTGATTTGTTAAACACTTTTTTGGTTACTATATGATTCCATATATGTTCTTTCATAGTTATAGCTATTTGGTAAAATACTATCTTCTGTATACCAACCCTACCTTGTCACAACACAACTGATTGGCTCAAATGCATTATGAAGGAAAGACATTCCACAAATTTACTTTTAACAAGGCACACCTGTTCATTGAAATGCAGTCCAGGTGACTACCTCATGAAGCTGGTTGAGAGTGTGAAAATCTGTCATCAAGGCAAAGGGTGGCTACTTTGAAGAATCTCAAATATAAAATATATTTTGATTTGTTTAACATTTCTTTTGGTTACTACATGATTCCATATGTATTATTTCATAGTTTTGATGTCTTCACTATTATTCTACAATGTAGAAAATAGTAAAAATAAAGAAAAACCCTTGAATGAGTAGGTGTGTCCAAACTTTTGACTGGTACTGTACATGTTGCGTTTATATTTTTGTTCAGTATACTATACATATCCATGCTGTGATAGTACCCAAAATGTTTTTTTGTCACAATGCCTCATTGCCAGAGGTGAGCCAACAGGATTGGACAGATGGAGAAAGTACAGGAAGAGGACTGGGAACCTGTCCAGAGTATCAGGGTTATCCTCAATTTCATATGAAGGGTGCTGATGATTCCCTCTCGAACAAATCCAATTTTATTTGTGACATGCGCCGAATACAACAGGTGTAGACTTTACAGTGAAATGCTTACTTACGAGCCCTTTCCCAACAATGCAGTGTAAAAAAGTTAAGAAATACATAAAAAAGGAAATAGTAACACAAAATAACGAGGCTATATTCAAGGAGTACCGGTACCGAGTCAATGTGCAGGGGTACGAGGTAGTTGATGTAATATGTACATGTAGGTAGGGGTAAAAGTGACTAAGCAATCAGGAACAGTGTTGTCACTTGAGTTAATAATTAATGCCCTAAACACCACTGCAACATGCTCCTCTTTTACAGAGAACTACATGAGGACTGTATCTTGAGAGAAATAATTGGCCGCCTTGAGAGGTCTGTCCTGGCTGTCTGTAACTCAAGTCGTGAACTCCTAAATGAAAAGAGGAGTAACACCTACAGAACATACTACTGTCCAGGACAGTCAGTCTAGTCTATAGGAGGGGTATTCCTCCTCCATCATCATCATCATCATCATCATCATAATACACAAGGGGAGGTCTGTACTAAAAAGATCTGACACTGTGATAACATTCGATAAATTACAAAGTCCCTGTTCCAATAACCTAATGGAAGTGTTCAGCTGATAAGGCGGGCTGTACTCACGTGTTGAGATCAATCTCAAAGGTCTGCATACGGGGCTTGTCCCCCACTGTGTCTGGGTCCCAGCGGTACACCTGGAACTTCTTGACTCTGGGCTGTGGTACTGTGGCCGCCGCTGTCTGGCCGTACCGAACCGCCTGACAGTAGAGGAGGAGAGAGAATGAGGACTGTTTAGCCTGTCTGTCATAACAAACCACATTACAAGCTGTGGGATAGAACAAGTTCTTCATGAATAACGACCCAATGTTCCTCGTATAATAATTTTATTGGCAGTGTTGAGTGTATATACTGAGCATACAAAACATTAAGAACACCTGCTCTTTCCATGACAGACTGAACAGGTGAAAGCTATAATCCCTTATTGATGTCACTTGTTAAACCACTTAAAATCAGTGTAGATGAAGGGGAGGAAACAGATTCAAGAAGGATTTTTAAGCCTTGAGACATGGATTGTGTGTGTGCCATTCAGAGCATGAATGGGCAAGACAAAAAATGTAAGTTCCTTTGAACTGGGTATAGTAGTAGGTGCCAGATGCACCGGTTTGTGTCAAGAACTGCAACGCTGCTGGGTTTTTCACGCTCAACAAAATCCTTCTTTAACCTGTCTCCTCCCCTTCATCTACACTGATTGAAGTGGATCTGACAAGTGACATCAATAAGGGATCATAGCTTTTACCTGGTCAGTCTACGTCATGGAAAGTGTTCTTAATGTTTTGTATACTCAGTGTTTGATCATATACAAATGTAAGCAAGGTTTGAAATGATGATGTTTTAGTCAAATATTATATCTGTTTGGGCTTTTTGCGGTCAATTATGTTCCGGCACCCTGACCATACGCTAAAGAAAAATATATATATTCAGCCCGTGGCTGAATCAAGTTGATGATCCCTGGTATATAACGTATACTGGGGTATTATGAAATACCCACGGTATGTTTTTCAATACCATTTAGTATTTTTTTTTGGCTTCATGACAATCCACTCGTGCAGCGCAAGAGAGGTGATCAAGTTACTCTTGAAGTTCACTCCTAATGTTTGCAAGGTAAATATCTTATAACTATAAGCCCAAAAAAGTATCAAAAGACTCCAGCCACCCTAGACTCTCTGCTACCGCACGGCAAGCGGTACCGCAGCGCCAAGTCTGGGTCCAAAAGGCTTCTTAACAGCTTCTACCCCCAAGCCATAAGACTCCTGAACAGCTAATCATGGCTACCCGGAATATTTGCATTGCCACCCCATCCCCCTCATTTACGCTGCTGCTACTCTGTTTATTATTTATGCATTGTCACTTTAACTCTACGCACATGTACATATTACCTCAATTAACTGGTGCCCTGCACATTCTGTACCGGCACCCCCTGTATATAGCTTCCCTACTGTTATTTTATTTTACTGCTGCTCTTTAATTATTTGCTATTTTTTACTTAACACTTTCTTTTTTTCTTAAAAACTGCATTGTTGGTTAAGGGCTTGTAAGTAAGCATTTCACTGTAATGTCTACACCTGTTGTATTCGGCGTATGTGGCAAATCAAATTTGAAGTTGAACTAAGACAAATAAATTCGCTCCAGCTATACATTTGGTTTGCAAATGTTTCACTAAATGTCTAGCTTGCAAGATCAAGCTTCTTGGTTACAGCAGAAACAATCAATCCCCTCCTGAGTCATGGATCAAGATCCCTGTAGTCTAATATTTGTTTTGTGCGTGCAGCAAACTGCGACCTCCGCCAAGGGAGCCGTTGTTTGTTGATGGAGAAGGAGCAGCTCTGTCATAGCACGGCAGATTTTTTACGTTTTGGCAGGGGATACAGAGTGCAAGGTTTTATAAAAAACTATGGATTCCAACTCCCACTGACAAATCTATAACAAATCAGGACAAGCACAGGTACACAGTAAGCATTAAATAATTGACATTTATAGAAGTATCGAGTGGTAGTGCATGTTTGAAGTCGATTACGTGGTGCAATTTGACAGAGGTCACACAGATTGCAGCACCCAAAGAAAATAACGCCTTTACACAGCACAAACATATGTACAATGTGGTGTGCATTAAAGAACGGATATTTTTACAATTATCAACTACCACTGACTCGATGTAGTCGGAGGTACACTACTATGCCTAAACTCAACTCCATTGAGATGTGATGTACATATCGTGGAGTTGAGAATTCCCCGCTAGATATGGGGAAGGATAAGCTGATCCTAGATCAGAGGAAATATACCTGGTGGAGCAAGGTCTGTAACCCCATTCAGACACACAAAAGTATGTGGACACCCCTTCAAATTAGTGGATTTGGCCATTTAAGCCACACACGTTGCTGACAGGTTTATAAAATAGAGCACACAGCCATGCAATCTCCATAAACAAACATTGGCAGTAGAATGGCCCGTACTGAAGAGCTCAGTGACTTTCAATGTGGCACCGTCATAGGATGCCACCTTTCCAACAAGTCAGTTTGTCAAATTTCTGCCCTGCTAGAGCTGCCCCGGTCAACTCTAAGTGTGGTTATTGTGAAGTGGAAACGTCTAGGAGCAACAACGGCTCAGCCTCAAAGTGGTATGCCACACAAGCTCACAAAACGGGACCGCCGAGTGCTGAAGCACGTAAAAATCGTCTGTCCTCAGTTGCAACACTCACTACTTAGTTCCAAACTGCCTCTGGAAGAAACGTCAGCACAAGAACTGTTCGTCGGGAGCGTCATGAAATGAGTTTCCATGGCCAAGCAGCTGCACACAAGCCTAATATCACCATGCGCAATGCCAAGCGTCGGCTGGAGTGGTGTAAAGCTTGCAGCCATTTCACATTGGAGCAGTGGAAACGCATTCTCTGGAGTGATGGATCATGCTTCACCATCTGGCAGTCCGACAGATGAATCTGGGTTTGGCGGATGCCAGGAGAACGCTACCTTCCCGAATGCATAGTACCAACTGTAAAGTTTGGTGGAGGAGGAATAATGTTCTGGGGCTGTTTTTCATGGTTTGGGCTAGGCCCCTTAGTTCCATACAGAAATGGTTTGTCGAGATCGGTGTGGAAGAACTTGACTGGCCTGCACAGAGCCCTGACCTCAACTCCATCGAACACCTTTGGGATGAATTGGAACGCTGTTTGCGAGCCAGGCCTAATCGCCCAACATCAGTGCCTGACCTCACTAATGCTTGTGGCTGAATGGAAGCAAGTCCCCGCAGCAATGTTCCAACATCTAGTGGAAAGCCTTCCCAGAAGAGTGGAGGCTGTTATAGCAGCAAAGGGGGGGGGGGGGACCAACTCCATATAAATGCCCATGATTTTGGAATGAGATGTTCGACCAGCAGGTGTCCACATACTGTTGGCAATGTAGTGTATTTTGTGGCATTCTTATACCGGTCCCCCTACAGGTCATATAACTACATTACATCAAGTGTTAAAAAAGCACATAACCTTAAACTACTTATCCAACTTATTCTGCCCATATTTACTGAATGTTAAACTTGTGAACAATACCTCTATCTCCAATAGACACTATATGAAGTATTGACAAGCAACAGATGAATCAAGATCAAACAACATTCTAACACATTTCACTGAACCTATCCAGTGTATGTGACGATACGTTTTTTTTACTCGATTGTTTACTTTACTAGCTAGGTAATGTAATGGATATCTAACTACTACTAGCTAATGTGCACAGATACACAGCTAGCAAACTTACTCACACTGATGAAAGGTAGCTAGCTACATCCTCAAGTGACAGCCCCGTGTAGCTCAGTTGGTAGAGCATGGCGCTTGCAACGGCAGGGTTGTGGGTTCGTTTCTCACGGGGGGGCCAGTATGAAAATGTATGCACTCACTAACTGTAAGTCGCTCTGGATAAGAGTGTCTGCTAAATGACTAAAATGTAAAAGCATTGACAACTAATATTAGTAACTAGGGAGGACAGGTGCAGCTTTTAGTGTTCCTGAGTTTACGGTGGCAGTGACAAAAAGAGCAATGGATTATTTATCTGTTTACACAATGGAGTTGTTGGCCATACTATTGGCTGCAGGGTGGGTGGGGGAGGTGAGGCCAGACAGAGTAGTCATCTGCTCTGACTCCTGTGCAGCACTGATGAGCTTAAATTAATTTCTGTCTCGGAGCAGACAGGATGTATCATATGAGGTTTTGCCGTGCTTGTCTAGGATGAGACAGATTGGAACATCAAATACCCCTCTGGGTACCATCTTATGTGGGTGTAGATGGGAATGAGGAGGTGGATGTTATCGCCAAGCAGGCTCTTAAACATCCTAATGTTGAGATGGAATTGTCAATCAGTAAAGCAGAAGCCAAGGGGTTGATAAAAAAGTGGTTAAAAACAAGTGGCAAGAGTTGTGGAACAGGGAGGGAAAGGGAAAACAACTGTATAAGATCCAGGAAAAGTTGGGGGCAGATACATCCTCAGGTCAAGGTGAGAAGGGAGGAAAGTGTAATCACAAGGCTCAATAGTACATTGAAAAACATCCGACTGGGAAGTGTGATCATTGTCAGGAGGAGATAGAGACAGTGGAACACTTTATATTTCAGTGCCAGCAATATGGGATGGAAAGAGAGAGATTGTTATTCGATTTAAGGAGTAATTGGGTTGAGGAGCCAATATTAAGTTAACTGCTGGGGAAATCTTCAGGGGATGTAGTATTTAATTATGCATTTTGTTTCCTTAGAGAATAATGGGTAGGATTTAGACCTTCCCTTGATTCTCTGTCTCTGGTCCACACGCCAGTCCAGTTTGTGGCAGTAATGCACCTTAAAGTTGGTTGCCAACCGCCATATAAAATGCACAAAAAAAGAAGCCAAAACATCAAAATACTCCATCTAAACGTGAATCGATTCTCATTTGCCGTAACATTACGGTTCTAGAAACAACCTAGAATGTTCTGCCCACTATGATTAATTTGCTCCTATTGGAAACGACAGGCTCTGGTCTATCTTGGGTTAGTTATACAAATCTTTGCTAAAGCAGTTAGTGTCTATGGATATGAATGAGTAGCAGCGAAGTTAGCTAGCTGACAAGCGCACGTCGTTCGAAACGATCAACAAACCGCATTCATTAACAAACCGCATTCATTAATTGGGCAATCGTTAAAATGGACAGTCTTAATTAACACAACCTTACCACCATTCCACTGGAAGAACGGAATGCCACAGTGCTATAGCGACCCAAAGACGATAGACAAACGACCGACATTTTCGCAATCTGACGTTTCTCTGACCTTTCTCTGGTATCTGCTATCCCTGAATGCACTGCGGTATTTCCTTTAATAGAAACTGACCTGAGATCAATGTTAAACGTCTTTGGTGTTACCAAACTATGCCGATTAGCAAAGATTATATTTTATTGAATATTGTCACATATGATTGATTCGCAGATTAGATCATTTGCGCAACGCTCGGTACAAAGAGGCTATCTCCATTTTAAACCTTCTTCGGATACATAGATTTCACAAATGATTGTCTCTGTTTAAATCAATTATGTACATGCACATACTATACACACGATATTCCACGTGTACAGTTGATGCAAAATAGTTGTTAGTAAACTAACAGTTTTACTTTATGTTTTGCTCAAATAAATGTGGGACCACTACGCGCGTGCGTAGTGAGTGAAGCTTTCGCCGGATGCTCTTTGAGATCAACAACACACAGCAGCAGTCGTCTCCTGTGGTGGATTATAAAAATAATCTAATCGAGTAAGGTTGACAAAGGAAAAAACGACAGGATTGTAGCAAAATCGTTAAGAAAGAAAGATGGTGTTTTTGACTTTATCTTATTGGATCCGCAATCGTGGGCCTGATAGATATTGGAAGGTTCAAGAAGTTATCAGTAATGCACGGGTAAGTTAGCGCTGTAGCCACTGACAGCCATTTAGCTAGCTCTGTTAGCTATTCTATTTAATTGACATTACAGAATTTACTTTGCATGCAACATTTACTCACCGTAGTGACAGTTTCACACTGCAGGTAACTCATCAATTAACGTTATAGTTAGTTATGAAGCTTGCTAAAATGGCTACCTAACTAGTTACAGACGAAGCATTTGGCTAGTTTACCAAATAACCGGCTGGTACTCAGTTCAGGGCTAGCAAGTCTCATTCCAAAGAGAGGACTGTGCCAATTTTAGCTACACGTCGGCATACTCACATTTACATTTTAGTCATTTAGCAGACGCTCTTATCCAGAGCGACTTACAGTTAGTGAGTGCATACATTTTCATACTGGCCCCCCGTGGGAAACGAACCCACAACCCTGGCGTTGCAAGCGCCGTACTCTACCAACTGAGCTACACGGGACTACCTCTTGCAGAGTTAGCTGGCTAGCTAGCTAACGTAGGTGGTAAAAAAAAACTAGTCTATTGTCAATATAAGTAAGATAATACAAAAATCCCCATCAAAATAGATCAGTTTAAGGAAAAGGTAGAGAGGAATGTTTTGCATGGGGGTTGCGTCCCAATCCGCCTATGGCGGCCTTCCGCATCTTCAGAGGTCATCATCAGCCAATTAACGTTAATGAACTAAAAACTAATGTACCTTTCCATTTGGGTTCAATTCTATTTCAATACTGTAAATTCAGGGGATTCATAAAAATTGTGCAATATGGTTTAATGAATTTCAATTCACTTACTGTATGGTCATTTCAAATGAACTTGACCCCAAACAACCCTGATACCCTTGTAGTGTGTTGTCACCGTTTTTGCCCTTTCCTATCATCTGTATTTCTCTTCCCCTATCTCTGTGTCCATCAGCATTTCAGAGGTAGAAAGAGGTACGGGCAGTACGAAGGGCCTTTGTATATGCCACCAAGGCTCACAAAATCAAACAACGTAACATCCGTACGGTAAGAGCATGATCAGAATTATAGCCATGTCATTGATACATCTAATTAGATATTCTAGCTATGCTATACCCTGGATCTATATGTGCACCCTTACATGTCATCAAGATCTCTCCTCTCTCATTATCATGTGCTTATGATAAATCAGCTACATGTAGATGTGTGCTATTGTGAGTGAGATCCTAAAACAATGCTTTTCACCAGCAATGGATCTCATGCATCGCGGCAGCATCACGGGAGCACGGCATGAAGTACCCCACCCTCATGCACAACCTGGTGAAGGTCAGTACAGTAGGCCTACAGTAGGGATCATCAACTAGATTCAGCCGCGGGCCGATTTTTTTCTGGAGCGGATGGTCAGGGGGCCAGAACATAATTACAAATAATTTGTAGACTGCAAATTGTCCACAAGAAGCCCAAACAGATATAATATTTGACTAAAACATAATAATTTCAAACCTTGCTTACATTTGTATATGATCACATATACACTACATGGCCAAAAGTATGTGGACACCGGCTCATTGACGATCTCATTCCAAAACATGGGCATTCATATGGAGTTGGTACACCCTTTGCTGCTATAACAGTCTCCACTCTTCTGGGAAGGCTTTCCACTAGATGTTGGAACATTGCTGCTGGGACTTGCTTCCATTCAGCCACAAGAGCATTAGTGAGGTCAGGCACGGAGGCTGGGCAATTAGGCCTGGCTCGCAGTCGACGTTCCAATTCATCCCAATTTGTGCCACGTTGAAAGTCACTGAGCTCTTCATTCTACTACCAATGTTTGTCTATGGAGATTGCATGGCGGTGTACTCGATTTTATACACCTGTCAGCAACGAGTGTGGCTGAAATAGCAGAATCCACTAATTTGAAGGGGTGTCCACATACATGTATCTCATGTAGTGTAGTGTATGCGTGGGAATACTTTAAACAGATTTTTAAAATGTAAGTCACTTGGAGCTGATTTGCTGGTGTTTTTACAGTCTCATGTCCAACTAAAAAAAATACAAAAATAATAATTTTTTGCCCAGAAATTGGGGGAACAAATAAAATCTCCCACGGGCTACCAGTTGGGGAACCCTTGCCTACAGTATGTCTTAACCTAGTTACGACACTATCTCTCGGTTCCAGCTTGTGATGATTCAGTACAGCTCCTCTGTAAGGCATTTTTGTTCCCAAGGTTTGATTTACAACATTGCTCCAGCTCACAACCACATGTAATCAGAGCACAGCAGACACTTATCATAGAACAGAAAGAAAAAAAATAACTGAAAATGTGAAATATTAATAACAAATAGGGATGAACGGTACAAAGTGAATGTTGCCACTTGATTGTACAGTGAGGGAAAAAAGTATTTGATCCCCTGCTGATTTTGTACGTTTGCCCACTGACAAAGAAATGATCAGTCTATAATTTTAATGGTAGGTTTATTTGAACAGTGAGAGACAGAATAACAACAAAAGAATCCAGAAAAACGCATGTCAAAAATGTTATAAATTGATTTGCATTTTAATGAGGGAAATAAGTATTTGACCCCCTCTCAATCAGAAAGATTTCTGGCTCCCAGGTGTCTTTTATACAGGTAACGAGCTGAGATTAGGAGCACACTCTTAAAGGGAGTGCTCCTAATCTCAGCTTGTTACCTGTATAAAAGACACCTGTCCACAGAAGCAATCAATCAATCAGATTCCAAACTCTCCACCATGGCCAAGACCAAAGAGCTCTCCAAGGATGTCAGGGACAAGATTGTAGACCTACACAAGGCTGGAATGGGCTACAAGACCATCGCCAAGCAGCTTGGTGAGAAGGTGACAACAGTTGGTGCGATTATTCGCAAATGGAAGAAACACAAAAGACCTGTCAATCTCCCTCGGCCTGGGGCTCCATGCAAGATCTCACCTCGTGGAGTTGCAATGATCATCAGAACGGTGAGGAATCAGCCCAAAACTACACAGGAGGATCTTGTCAATGATCTCAAGGCAGCTGGGACCATAGTCACCAAGAAAACAATTGGTAACACACTACGCCGTGAAGGACTGAAATCCTGCAGCGCACGCAAGGTCCCCCTGCTCAAGAAAGCACATATACAGGGCCGTCTGAAGTTTTCCAATGAACATCTGAATGATTCAGAGGAGAACTGGGTGAAAGTGTTGTGGTCAGATGAGGCCAAAATCGAGCTCTTTGGAATCAACTCAACTCACCGTGTTTGGAGGAGGAGGAATGCTGCCTATGACCCCAAGAACACCATCCCCACCGTCAAACACAGAGGTGGAAACATTATGCTTTGGGGGTGTTTTTCTGCTAAGGGGACAGGACAACTTCACCGCATCAAAGGGACGATGGACGGGGCCATGTACCGTCAAATCTTGGGTGAGAACCTCCTTCCCTCAGCCAGGGCATTGAAAATGGGTCGTGGATGGGTATTCCAGCATGACAATGACCCAAAACACACGGCCAAGGCAACAAAGGAGTGGCTCAAGAAGAAGCACATTAAGGTCCTGGAGTGGCCTAGCCAGTCTCCAGACCTTAATCCCATAGAAAATCTGTGGAGGGAGGTGAAGGTTCAAGTTGCCAAATGTCAGCCTCGAAACCTTAATGACTTGGAGAAGATCTGCAAAGAGGAGTGGAACAAAATCCCTCCTGAGATGTGTGCAAACCTGGTGGCCAACTACAAGAAACGTCTGACCTCTGTGATTGCCAACAAGGGTTTTGCAAGTACTAAGTCATGTTTTGCAGAGGGTTCAAATACTTATTTCCCTCATTAAAATGCAAATCAATTCATAACATTTTTGACATGTGTTTTTCTGGATTTTGTTGTTGTTATTCTGTCTCTCACTGTTCAAATAAACCTACCATAAAATGTATAGACTGATCATCTCTTTGTCAGTGGGCAAATGTACAAAATCAGCAGGGGATCAAATACTTTTTTCCCTCACTGTATATACTGAACTGTAAAAATCCTTTGCACTACCATCTCATCCCACTCCTTAGTCTTTACTGTTGTTACTCAGATCCTCTCATCCTTTCCTCGGATCTTCTAAGATTTGTGTCGGTTCAAAGTGTATGTTTATTTACACTTCCAACCCTCCTCTTCTCTCCCCTTACAGAGTAGTGTTGAGGTGAATCGACGTGTTCTGAGCGACCTTGCCATCACAGAGCCTAAGTCATTCCTGTCTCTTGCAAAGCTGGCCAGGGTGAGGCAACAGGAGGGATTCGGTGGAGCGTTAGGCAATGGCAAAGAGCCTCCTGGTGTCTTCTCACACATTGTCACGCTACAGTGATCTAGCCACCTTCTCCATAGGCAATTGCAATGGACTCCATACCACCTCTTTGCTGATCTCAGCAAGGGGCCCACCCATCCAATTACCCAGTTTCCTTACTAGCAATACGACCAACACAGTGCTACCCTGCCACCATTCTACTCCGTCTCTGAATCATGGCTGCTGGATAGATGCTGACGGAATCACCCTCCACACCTCATTCAATATGATAGTATTCATAGGCGAGGTTTGACTGACTGGTGGGGGAGGGGGGAGGGGGTGTTACAGAGGAAATACTTGACCTTCGTTTGTAATGCCTTGTGTCTCTATGTACATATGTGTGATTGTGTGTTTGCCTGTTTTCCTGTCAATACATGTGTAAAACGATTGTCTAGTAAATAAAACATTTTGCTTACCTATTCAGTGTTCTGATGATGTTGTTGCTAATGTTACAAATATTACAATGAAAAATGATGCCCTTTCTCCTCGAGAGATGACTCAATTTAGGGTTTTCAAGATTGACTACTAAAAGATTAAGCAAGATCATTTTACATTACTGTCCCAAGTAATTGTGGTAATGTTACATAGAATGTTCCAAATTATTTAGTTCCTGACAATTAATTTGTTCAAGGAGAACGTTTTTAAAAGATTCATGTTTCCCTGAAATGCTACTGCAATGTATTACTTAAAAATCTAAACAGCACTCAATGTGAGCTTATGAAAAATGCAATGAATGAAAAATGCAATCAATCTCTCCCTATCCCAGTCTACTGTCCCCACATGCTTCAAAATGGCCACCATTGTTCCTGTACCCAAGAATGCAAAAGTAACTGAACTAAATGACTATTGCCCCGTAGCACTCACTTCTGCCATCATGAAGTGCTTTGAGAGACTAGTCAAGGATCATATCACCTCCACCTTACCTGTCACCCTTGACCCACTTCTATTCGCATACCGCCCCAATAGGTCCACAGACGATGCAATCGCCATCACACTGCACACTGCCCTATCCCATCTGGACAAGAGGAATACCTATCTAAGAATGCTGTTCATTGACTATAGCTCAGCATTCAACACCATAGTCCCTCCAAGCTCATCATCAAGCTTGAGGCCCTGGGTCTCAACCCTGCCCTGTGCAATTGGGTCCTGGACTTCCTGACGGGCCGCCCCCAGGTGGTGAAGGTAGGAAACAACATCTCCACTTCGCTGATCCTCAACACTGGGGCCCCACAAGGGTGTGTGCTCAGGCCCCTCCTGTACTCCCTGTTCACCCATGACTGCCTAGCCATGCACGCCTCCAACTCAATCATCAAGTTTGCAGACGACACAACAGTAGTAGGCTTGATTACCAACAACGATGAGACAGCTTACAGGGAGGAGGTGAGGGCTCTGGGAGTGTGGTGTCAGGAAAATAACCTCTCAACGTCAACAAAACAAAGGAGATGATCGTGGACTTCAGGAAACAGCAGAGGGAGTACCCCTATATCCACATCGACGGGACAGCAGTGGAGAAGGTGGAACGTTTGAAGTTCCTCGGTATTCATATCACTGACAAACTGAAATGGTCCACCCACACAGACAGTGTGGTGAAGAAGGCGCAAAAGTGTCTCTTCAACCTCAGGTGGCTGAAGAAATTTGGCCTGTCACCTAAAACCCTCACAAACTTTTACAGATGCACAATTGAGAGCATCCTGTCGGGCTGTATCACCGCCTGGTACGGCAACTTCACTGCCCACAACCGCAGGGCTCTCCAGAGGGTGGTGCGGTCTGCACAACGCATCACCGGGGGCAAACTACCTGCCCTCCAGGACACCTACAGCACCCGATGTCACAGGAAGGCCAAAAAGATAATCAAGGACAACTACCACCTGAGCCAATGCCTGTTCACCCCGCTATCATCCAGAAGGCGAGGTCAGTACAGGTGCATCAAAGCTGGGACAGAGAGACTGGAAAAACAGCTTCTATCTCAAGGCCATCAACTGTTAAACAGCCATCACTAGCACAGAGGCGCTGCTGCCTACATACAGACTTGAAAATCACTGGCCACTTTAATAATGCCACTTTAATAATGTTTACATATCTTGCATTACTGGTCTCATATGTATATACTGTATTCTATACTATCTATTGCATCTTAGACTATGCAGCTCTGACAATGACATTGCTCATTTATATATTCTTATTCCATTCCTTTACTTAGATTTGTGTGTATTAGATATGTGTTGTGGAACTGTTAGATATTACTCGCTAGATATTACCGCACTGTCGGAACTAGAAGCACAGGCATTTCGCTACACTCGCAATAACATCTGCTAACCATGTGTATGTGACCAATACATTTGATTTGATTTGATTTGAAATGCGTTCTCTTGACAGAAGTACAAAAAACTCCGCATATGATGCAATTATCAAATTAATTGTGTCAAATGGCTTTCCAGTGTGGTTATTATAAGACTTAAGGCTACATGTTTGACTTCAACAAAGGACAACCAATGAGAGGAATATTTTTTTCCTCAACCAATCAGCACGAGTGTCTTTCAGGAAAAAAATTGGTCCTCTCTTGCGCTTGCGCAAAGACGGCAGCGTGACACGCGTGTGGAGGAAGTGTAGGGACAGACCGCCAAGCCTGACCACCTCCACCTGCCTGGGTCAGCAGCTTATTCTCTGTTTACCGTAACATGTCCTGGCTGTTCGGCCTGAATAAGGGGCAGCCCGAGGCGCCCCCGGAATTCCCGGTTCCACCGCCACTCCCTCCACCGGCTGGCGGCGGCGATGATAAACCCAAGGACAAATGGAGCAATTTTGATCCAACCGGGCTGGAGCGAGCGGCCCAGGCGGCAAAGGAGCTCGACAAGTCTCGTAAGTGTCTTGCATGATAACTACATTTTATAGGACTGTATAACTAGTAGCTAGCTAGCATATTTGTAGTCATTCCAGAAAGAGCGATGCACCCGCAGCATGCTTTACAGCCTCAGCAGTGATGCTGATACAACACCGGCCCGTGTCCTGACATAGCATAATCTCATAGCTAGTTTCCACGGGTATCTAAGTTAACGTTATCTAGCTAGCTATTCTTCATGACAGCTATCAGTAGGACATAACACTGTAGTAAACGAGAATCACATGTATCACATTGAACGTTGTGCTGCACATTTTCATTCATGTTGGAAGTTGTCCATAGTGCCTTCAAGTTGAAAGGTGCAAATGTTATTCCTTCACACAGTTCAGTTTGCCAGATAGCTTTAGTTACTAGTTTTAGTATAACTTAATTAAACCAGGTTTAAAACCTTATATTTCATATTACATTATTTTTCAGAACATTAAATTAAATTCTAATTGGTTTGAATATAGCCTACTGTCATTAAATTAAATGTACAGTTGAAGTCAGAAGTTTACATACACCGTAGCCAAATACATTTAAACTCAGTCTTTCACAATTCCTGACATTTAATCCTAGTATAAATTCCCTGTCTTAGGTCAGTTAGGATCACCACTTTATTTTAAGAATGTGAAATGTCAGAATAATAGTAGAGAGTGATTTATTTCAGTTTTTATTTATTTCATCACATTCCCAGTGGGTCAGAAGTTTACATACACTCAATTAGTATTTGGTAGCATTGCCTTTAAATTGTTAAACTTGGGTCAAACGTTTCGGGTAGCCTTCCACAAGCTTCCCACAATATGTTGGGTGAATTTTGGCCCATTCCTCCTGACAGAGCTGGTGTAACTGAGTCAGGTTTGTAGGCCTCCTTGCTCGCACATGCTTTTTCATTTCTGCCCACAAATGTTCTATAGGATTGAGGTCAGGGCTTTGTGATGGCCACTCCAATACCTTGACTTTGTTGTCCTTAAGCCATTTTGCCACAACTTTGGAAGTATGCTTGGGGTCATTGTCCATTTGGAAGACCCATTTGTGACCAAGCTTTTACTTCCTGACTGATGTCTTGAGATGTTGCTTCAATATATCCACATAATTTTCCTTCCTCATGATGCCATCTATTTTTTTAAGTGCACCAGTCCCTCCTGCAGCAAAGCACCCCCACAGCATGATGCTGCCACCCCCGTGCTTCACGGTTGGGATGGTGTTCTTCGGCTTGCAAGCACCCCCTTTTTCCTCCAAACATAACGATGGTCATTATGGCCAAACAGTTCTATTTTTGTTTCATCAGACCAGAGGACATTTCTCCAAAAAGTACGATCTTTGTCCCCATGTGCAGTTGCAAACCGTAGTCTGGCTTTTTTTATGGCGGTTTTGGAGCAGTGGCTTCTTCCTTGCTGAGCAGCCTTTCAGGTTATGTCGATATAGGACTCGTTTTACTGTGGATATAGATACTTTTGTACCTGTTTCCTCCAGCATCTTCACAAGGTCCTTTGCTGTTGTTCTGGGATTGATTAGCACTTTTCGCACCAAAGTACGTTCATCTCTAGGAGACAGAACGCGTCTCCTTCCTGAGCGGTATGACGGCTGCGTGGTCCCATGGTGTTAATACTTGTGTACTATTGTTTGTACAGATGAACGTGGTACATTTAGGCTTTTGGAAATTGCTCCCAAGGATGAACCAGACTTGTGGAGGTCTACAATTTTTTTTCTGAGGTCTTGGCTGATTTCTTTTGATGATTTTCCCATGATGTCAAGCAAAGAGGCACTGAGTTTGAAGGTAGGCCTTGAAAGACATCCACAGGTACCCCTCCAATTGACTCAAATGATGTCAATTAGCCTATCATAAGCTTCTAAAGCCAATACATCATTTTCTGGAATTTTCCAAGCTGTTTAAAGGCACAGTCAACTTAGTGTATGTAAACTTATGACCCACTGGAATTGTGATACAGTTAATTATAAGTGAAATAATCTGTCTGTAAACAATTGTTGGGAAAATGTACTTGTCATGCACAAAGTAGATGTCCTAACCGACTTGCCAAAACTATAGTTTGTTAACAAGAAATTTGTGGAATGGTTGAAAAACAAGTTTTAATGACTCCAACCTAAGTGTATGTAAACTTCCGACTTCAACTGTATGTCTCTTGAAGATCAATGTCCCTTTTCCTTGACTTAATTTCAGGTCATGCCAAAGAGGCCCTGGATCTGGCTCGCATGCAGGAGCAGTCTGTTCAGATGGAACATCAGACCAAAATCAAGGTACAGTTGCACTAAACAAGGCACATGCAGAGTAATGTGTCGGACACCAAATACATGATACTATCAATCCAATATCTGATCATGCTATTTGTGTTTCCTCTGTGTTCGATGGTGGCAGGAGTACGAGGCAGCAGTGGAGCAACTGAAGGGGGATCAGCTGCGTATTCAAGGGGAGGAGAGGAGGAAAACTGTCGGCGAGGAAACCAAGCACCATCAATCGGTGAGAGGAGAGCAGAGGAAGGGTTTAGTGGTACTGCATAGGGGGTGGTTGTGCAGTAGTATTCATTGTACTGTAGAGTATGAGGTCAATGATGGGCTCATAGCATGGATCATAATGCAGACGTATGGGTAAACCGTAGAAGCAAGCATTTGCCCTGTAGTAGTAAAGATATCTTTGAGTTTGTAGAGAGTAGAATTGTGTCGGTAAGTTTAGAGCTTGAAATAGTTTGCACAATTAGTGTTAATTCTGTTGAAACAGGCTGCAATGAGAGATTCGGAGGAACAAGGGGTTGCATATCTGTCCACCAGATGGCGACTAACATGTGTTACTATGGTTACCGTCTCCTTTTATCCCTTCACAGAGAGCACAGTTCCAAGACAGACTTGCCAGACAGAGGTATGAGGATCAACTCAAGCAACAGGTAAGACCAAATGCCATTAGCTGCAATATCTACTCAGTACCAATTAGGATAGAAAGAAGTAGAGTGAAAATGCTGTGTCCACCTGACTGTGTGGCCTATCCTCTGCGTCCTCAGCAAGCCCTGAATGAGGACAACCTTCGCAAACAGGAGGACTCTGTGCTTAAACAGGAGGCCATGAGGAAAGGTACTGACCCCGTATAATACTGTCACACAGCCTCCAGGAATATGGTTCTGCTTCTATTTTCACTGGTCATTATAGCCATATGGGGTCTGGCAATAACAAAATGTTTAAGGGATAATCAACGAGGGGCTATGCATTTTATGTAATAACGTGGCGCGTCGTGAAACTAACTTTCCACGGAGTTTCATTATTTTCCAGAGAACGCAGAGAGACCAGAGTATACTCCCTTTTATACATACCATGGCTATAACTTAACACAGAAATGTGTTCAACATCCGCTGAAGTAGCTAGCAAGTTTTCTAGATAGCTACAGTAGTTGCCTTGTAACCAAACACAGACTTGCTAGTTTAGCTAACCAAAACATCAGTCCTAGCTTAGTATTATGAAAATAAAATTAATCAGTGCCTATAATGTTAATGTTTTCAATTCGACTTTAGCTTTCCAAAGCAGCTCAAACACAGAACATGTAAGAATGAACTAGCCATTGAATTCTACCATGCTGATATACTGTGCGTTATAGGGAAATAATGCACGCTCTAGAATGCCCTTCAAGCCAATCAGAAACAAGTATTTAACAATGCTATGGTATATTGATGTTATATCCACTGATGTATCCTCTCCACATAGCAACAATCGAGCACGAGATGCAGCTGAGGCACAAGAATGAGCTGCTACGTGTAGAGGCGGAGTCTAAAGCTCATGCACGTGTTGAACGGGAAAACGCAGACATCATCCGCGAGCAGATCCGCTTGAAGGCAGCAGAGCACAGACAGACTGTACTAGAGACTATACGGTGAGACAGACATAGTGTATTACACTACAGACCTTACAGAAAGATACTATATTGGAAACCTGACTGTCTTTGTATATTTCTGTGATTTCAGGACTGCAGGTGCTGTGTTTGGGGAAGGATTCCAGGCCTTTGTGTCAGACTGGGATAAAGTCACAGCTACGGTGAGACCTGCCTTCCACTCTACTTCCTTGTTTATGTTCATTAATATGTGAACTGCCAATGACTCCTAAATAAGTACCTGATATGTTAAAGGTTTATTTATATCTGATCTAAGCTGTTCTTGGAGCGTCTCTAAATGTAGTGTATTTGTTCCGTCACACCACCAGGTGGCAGGACTGACCCTGCTGGCTGTGGGTGTATATTCTGCCCGGAACGCCACAGCTGTGGCAGGGCGCTACATTGAGGCCCGGCTCGGGAAGCCCTCATTGGTCAGAGAGACGTCTCGCATCACTGTGGCGGAGGCGATCAAGCACCCCATCAAGGTAGAGAGGCCCTGCTGTGCATTTTATACGTCTTGTGTCTGATGCTTTTTGTGTTTTTTATTGCAATTAAATTAAGTTAGCTAAACACTCTTATTTTGAAGTATTATGAAGTGATGGTGAGGTGCATTTTCTTATTTTTCCTCTCTTATAGATGTCAAAGCGCCTGACAAGCAAACCTCAAGATGCCCTGGAGGGAGTAGTGCTCAGTGTGAGTACCGACACTCAGCACACACCTGAGCACCAGCGAGCCATACCTTATAGAGTCTCAACACAACTAAACCTGGGAGATATTATACCCAGCACATGTATTAAAGAGACATTCATAGAGAATGCTGTGTACACATCTTGTGTAGAGGGAATATTTGTTATTGCAGGCCTGCTTTGAGCCAAAATGTTGATCTCCCTGATATGAATTATTCCGTCCACTCCTCACAGCCTAACTTAGAAGAGCGTGTACGTGACATTGCCATAGCAACTAGGAACACGCGGCAGAACAAGGGGCTCTACAGGAACATCCTCATGTATGGCCCCCCAGGTACTGGCAAGACCCTCTTCGCCAAGGTAGGCCCCTTACAGAATCACCTTGACTTTGACAAGTGGTGTTATCTTGGTATCTGTATATGTTGGTAACTGTCTCTCTGTGTTCTGAGTAGAAGCTGGCAGTGCACTCTGGGATGGACTATGCCATCATGACGGGTGGAGATGTGGCGCCCATGGGCCGTGAGGGTGTCACCGCCATGCACAAAGTCTTTGACTGGGCTAACACCAGTCGCCGCGGGTATGCTACCCTCACTTGCAGTACCATCATACTATTGATAGAACTTAATGAAAATGTAACCATGATGTAACCATATAACGTAAGTATCTACGTAACTTGACATAATATACATTTGAACTTGCATTAGACACATATGCAGACATGCACTTGAAACGATATACAGAGAACGATGTAAGACCAGTGCAGCTCTGCTAATGCCATCCTGTCTCCTGTCTGACACAGCCTGCTGCTGTTTGTTGATGAAGCTGATGCATTCCTTCGCAAGAGATCTACTGTAAGTGTGTTGTGTACAGACCTGGTATCAAATACATGTGTATTTGAGTATCTGGTATTTAAAATACATTTTTCTGTGTATTTGAGTATTTCCAAATACACAGGCCAAAACAATAACTTTTATTTGAGTTATTTGAATGGTTATTTGTATTTTAAAAAACGAATACTCTGCAAAATTGTATTTGAGAGTATTTTCAAATACTTATCTTAAATACTATTTTCAAATATCTGGGTTACGTCTCCCGAGTGGCGCAGTGGTCTAAGGCACTGCATCGCAGTGCTAGCTGTGCCACTAGAGATCCTGGTTCGAATCCAGGCTCTGTCGTAGCCGGCCGCGACCGGGAGACCCATGGGGCGGCGCGCAATTGGCCCAGCGTCGTCCAGGTTAGGGGAGGGAATGGCCGGCAGGGATGTAGCTCAGTTGATAGAGCATGGCGTTTGCAACGCCAGGGTTGTGGGTTCGATTCCCACAGGGGGTATGATTTTTTAAAATGTATGCACTAACTGTAAGTCGCTCTGGATAAGAGCGTCTGCTAAATGACTAAAAATGTAAATGTAAAAATGTTAAATACATGGGAGTGTATTTGAGTCGGTGTATTCGAGTATTTTCAAATAATTTCCAAGCGTATTTCCAAATACAGTAAAATTTTCAACTACTTGTCTTTTCAAATATAAAATATCAGAATACTTACTTCGAATGTATGTGAAAGGAATTGAGAAATTTGAAATAGGATTTGAACCCAGGTCTGGTTGTGTACTTTCCTGTATTGAAATGATAGCAAAACCAAAACAATGATAAAATTCAAGGTTTGTGTCTTTTTTGTTTGCAGGAGAAGATCAGTGAAGAGCTCAGAGCAACTTTGAACGCATTCCTGTACCGCACTGGAGAGCAGAGCAACAAGTCAGTCCTCATTGACTCCCGCACTCTAAATTCACCATATATACGCCCAACACTCTAAATTCACCATATATACGCCCAACACTCTAAATTCACCATATATACGTCCAACACTCTAAATTCACCTGATCTACGCCCAACACTCTAAATTCACCTTATCTACGCCCAACACCCTAAATTCTGATGTACAAACTTCCTCAAATACCACAGCATTCTAACCCTAATAGCCCACTGGTGTGTCGTCTTCCTCCAGGTTCATGATGGTGCTGGCTAGTAACCAGCCGGAGCAGTTTGACTGGGCCATCAATGACCGCATTGATGAGATAGTCAACTTTGCCCTGCCGGGTCCTGATGAGAGAGAGAGGCTGGTGCGTCTGTACTTTGACAGATACGTGCTTGAGCCTGCCACAGGGGGGAGACAGTGAGTCATACAGCGTTACGCCCACATGGCACGGCAGCACAGGTTTAAATAGGGCACTCTCACAAGCACACACACACTGGGATGTATAATGGAACAAGTTATGATGCCAAGTAATTAGCTACTCCCAAACACACTTGGAGTCATCCACATTCCGTGACACACACACACCTACCCACGCACACGTGGACAGGCATTAACTCTTGAGTACCTGGGTAGAAGGAGGACCCTCTCTGTATTGTCCATGTAAATAAGCTCTGGCTGATGGCTGTGGAGTGTGTGAGGAGCAGGTCTTTAAGAGCAGGTGTCCCAGCAGTAAGTAGCAGCAGGAGCCCAGTCAGCCGTAGCCATGCTGAGTCACTAATTACAGTGGGGCTTTGAGGGCCTGGAGCCTGAGAGGTAGAGGGGCAGGGGCGACCTACACACAGGGCACTGGAAACTGGACCAGACACAACAGTCCTGTGTAGCTCAGTTGGTAGAGCATGGCGTTTGCAACGCCAGGGTTGTGGGTTCGATTCCCACGGGGGGCCAGTATGAAAATGTATGCAATCACTAACTGTAAATCGCTCTGGATAAGAGCGTCTTCTAAATAGGGAAAAATTCCCCCCCCCCCATTCCCCCCAAAACCCCAAATTTTTAAAACCCCCTTTTTTTCCCCCTTTAAAACCCCAAAAAAATTTAAAAACCCCCCCCCCCCCTTTCCCCCCCCCCCTGATTTAAAAAAAAATTCCCAAAAATTTTTCCCCCTTTTTCCCCCCCTTTTTTTTAAAAATTTTTTTTTTAAACCCCAAAAAATTTTCCCCCCCCCCCTTTTAAAACCCCCCCCGGGTTTTTTTTGGGGGGGGCCCTTTTTAAAAACTTTTGGGGCCGGGCCCGGGGGAGAAAAGGGGGGTTTTTTTTTTTGGGGGGCCCCCCCCCGGGGGGGGGGCCCCCCCCCCCGGGGGGGGAAAAATTTTAAAAAAAAACCCCCCCAAAAACCCAAAAATTGGAAAAAAAACCCCCCCCAAAACCCCCAAAAAATTTTTTTTTGGGGGAAAACCCCCCCCCAAAAAATTTCTTTTTGGGGGGGGGGGTTTTGGGGTTTAAAAAATTTTTTGGGGGGGGGGGGGCCCCAAAAAAGGGGGGGGGAGGGCCCGGGGCCCCCGGGGGGGGGAAAAGGGCCCAAAAAAGGGGGGGGGGGGTCCGGGGGGGGGGAAACCCCGGGGGCCCCAAAAGGGGGAAAAAAATTTTGAAAAGGGGAACCGGGGAAAACCCTTTTTGGGGAAAAAAAGGGGAAAAAAAAAACCCCCAAAAAAACCCCCCGGGGGAGCCCATTAAAAAAATTTTTTTTAAACAACCAAAAAAAAAAGACCCCCTTCCCCGGGGGCCCCCCCCCAAAAAAACCCCCCCCCCCCCCCTTTTTTCCCCTTTTTTTTCCCCCCTTTTTTCCCCCCCCCCCCCCCCCCCCCCCCCCCCTTTTTCCCCCCCCCCCCCCCCCCTTTTTTCCCCTTTTCCCCCCCCCCCCCCCTTTCCCCCCCCCCCCCCTCCCCCCTTTTAACCCCCCCTCGGGCCCCCCTTTTCCCCCCCCCCCCTTAAAAAACCCCCCCTTTCCCCCCCCCTCTTTTCCCCCCCCCCCCCCCCCCCCCCCCCCCCCCCCCCCCTTTTTTTTTTTTCCCCCCCCCTTTTCCCCCCCCCCCCCCCCCCCCCCTTTTTTTTTAATCCCCCCCCGGGTTTCCCCCCCCCGGGGAACCCCCCCCGGGAACCCCCCCCCCCCCCCCTCCCCCCCCCCCCCTTTCCCCCCCCCCCCAACCGGGCCCCCCCCCCCCCCCCCCCCCCCCCCCTTTTTTTCCCCCCCCTTTTTCCCCCCCCCCTTTCCCCCCCCCCCTCTTTTCCCCCCTTTTTTTTCCCCCCCCCCCCCCCCCCCCCCTTTTTTCCCCCCCCCTTTTTCCCCCCCCCAATTTCCCCCCCCCCCCCCCCCCCCCCCCTTTCCCCCTTTTTTTTTTCCCCCCCCCCCCCCCTTTTTCTTTCCCCCTCTTTCCCCCTTTTTCCCCCTTTTTTTCCCCCCCCCTTTTTTTTCCCCCCCCCCCTTTTCCCCCCCCCTTTTTTTCCCCCCCCCCCTTTTTTCCCCCCCCCCCTTTTCCTTTTTCCCTTTCCCCCCCCTTTTTTTCCCCCCCCCCCCCTCTAAACCCCCTTTTTTTAAACCCCCCCCCCTTTTCCCCCCCCCCTTTTTTCCCCCCCCCCCCTTTTTTTTTTTCCCCCCCCAACCCCCCCTTTTTTTTTTCCCCTTTTCCCCCTTTTTTTTTTTCCCCCTTTTTTTCCCCCCCCTTTTTTCTTTTTCCCCCCCCTTTTTCCCCCCCCCCCTTTTTTCCCCTTTTCCCCCTTTTTTGCCCCCTTTTAACCCCCCCCCCCCCTTTCCCCTTCCCCCCCCCCCCTTTTTTCCCCCCCCCCTTTCCCCCCCCCCTTTTTCTCCCCTTTTTTTAATTCCCCCTTTTTTAAACCCCCTTTTCCCCCCCCCCCCCCCCTTTTTTTTTTCCCCCCCCCTTTTTTTCTTTTCCCCGGGCCCCCCCCCCCCCCCCAAAAAACCCCCGGGCCTTCCCCCCCCCCCCCCCCCCGGGGGCCCCCCCCGGCCCCCCCCCAACCCCCCTTTTTTTTTCCCCCCCCCCCCGGGGCCCCCCCCCCCCCCCCGGGTTAAACCCCCCCCCCCCCGGGTTTTTTCCCTTTCCCCCCCCCCCCCCCCCCGGCCCCCCCCCCCGGGCGGCCCCCCCTTTTAAAACCCCCCCCCCCCCCCGGGAACCCCCCCCTTTTTTTTTCCCCCCCCCCCCTCTCTTTCCCTTTTTCCCCCCCGGGGACCCCCCCCCCCCCCCAAAACCCCCCCCTTTTTAAAACCCCCCTTTTTTTCCCCCCCTTTTCCCCCCCCCCCCCCCGGGCCCCCCCCCCCCCCCCCAAAATTTTCCCCCCCTTTTTTCCCCCCCTTTTTTCCCCCCCCCCCCCCTTTTTTCCTTTTTTCCCCCCCTTTTCCCCCTTTTTTAAAACCCCCCCGGGCCCCCCCCCTTTTTCCCCCCCTTTTTTCCCCCCCCCTTTTTTTTTCCCCTTTCCCCCTTTTTTTCCCCCTTTTTCCCCCCCAACCCTGGCTCTAAACCCCCCCCCCCCCCCCCCTTTTCCCCCCCCTTTTTTTTTTCCCCCTCTTTCCCCCCCCCCAAACCCCTTTTTCCCCCTTTTCCCCCCCCACCCCCTTTTTTCCCCCCTTTTCCCCCTTTTTTCCCCCCCCCCCCCCCCCCCCCCCCGGGGCCCCCCTTTTCCCCCCCTCCCTTTTTTCTTCCCTTCCCCCCCCTTTCCCCCTAAACCCCCCCTTTTTTTTTCCCCCCCCAAAAAAAACCCCCCCCCTTTCCCCCCCCTTTTCCCCTTTCCCCCTTTTTTTTCCCCCCCCCCCCGCCCGGGGTTTCCCCCCCCCCCCCCCCCCCCTTTTTTTTTCCCCCCCTTCCCCCCCCCCCCTTTCCCCCTTTTTTCGGGCCTAAAATTTTTTTTCCCCCCCCCCCCCCCCCCTTTTCCCCCTCCCCCCCCGGGGGGTTTTCCCCCCCGGGCCTTCCCCCCCCCCCCCTTCCCCGGGGCCCCCCCCCCCCCCGGCCCCTCAACCCCCCCCCCCTTCCCCCCCCCCCGGGTTTTCCCCCCCCCCCAAAACCCCCCCCCCCCCCCGGGCCCCCCCCCTTTTCCCCCCCCCTTCCCCCCCCCCCTTTTTTTTTTCTTTCCCCCCCTTTTTTCCCCCCCCCCCCCTTTCCCCCCCCCCCCCCCTTTTTTCCCCCCCCCCCCCTCCTTTCCCCCCCGTCTTCCCTTTTTCCCCCCCCCCCCCCCCCTCCCACCCCCCCCTTTTTTCCCCCCCTTTAAAAAACCCCCCCCCCCGGGGCCCCCCCCCCCTCTTCCCCCCCAACCCCTTTTCCCCCCCCCGGGGGCCCCCCCCCCCTTTTTTTTCCCCCTCCCCCCCCCCTTTTGGGGCCCCCCCGGGCCTTAAAACCCCCCCCTTTTTTTAACCCCCCAACCCCCCCTTTTTTTTTTTCCCCCCCCCCCCCCCTTTTTCCCCCCCCCCCCCCCCCTTTTTTTTTCCCAAACCCCCCTCTCCGGTTTTTCCCCCCCCCCCTTTCCCCCCCTTTTTTTCCCCCCCCCCCTTTTTTTTCCCCCCTTTTTTCCCCCCTTTCCCCCCCTTTCCCCCCCGGGGTTTTTCCCCCCCCCCTTTCCCGGCCCCCCCTTTTTTTCCCCCCGGGGCCCTTCCCCCCCCCCCCCGGGGCCCCCCCCTTTGGGGGGCCCCCCCTTAAATCCCCCTCCCCGAAAAAAACCCCCCCCAAAAATTTTCCCCCCCCCGGGGTTTTTTGGGGAAAAACCCCCTTTTTCAAAATTTGGGCCCCCCCCCCCCCAAAAAACCCCCCTTTTTTTCCCCCCCCCGGGGCCCCCCCCTTTCCCCCCCCTCTTTTTTCCCCCCCTTTTTTCCCCCCCCTTTTTCCCCCCCCCCTTTTTTCCCCCCCCCCGGTTTTGTTCCCCTTTTCCCCCCCCCCCCTCCCCCGGGCCCCCCCCCGGGGTTTTTTTTTTTCCCAAACCCCCCCCTTTTTTTTCCCCTTTTTTTCCCCCCCCTTTTTTCCCCCCCTTTTTTTTAAACCCCCCCTCTTTCCCCTTTTTCCCCCCTCTCTTAAACCCCCCCCTTTTTTTTCCCCCCCTTTTTCTTTCCCCTTTCCCCTTTTCTTTCCCCCCCCCCTTTTCCCCCCCTTTTCCCCCCTTTTTCCCCCCCCTTTCCCCTTTTTCCCCCCTTTTCCCCCCTTTTTTTCCCCCCCTTTTTTAAACCCCCCCCTTTTTTTTTTTCCCCCCCCGGTTTTCCCCCCCCCCCCCTTTTTTCTTTTAAACCCCTTTTCTTTCCCCTTTTTTTTCCCCCCCTTTTTTTCCCAATTCCCCCCCGAAAACCCCCCCCTTTTTTTTAACCCCCCCCCAAAGGGGGGGTTTTTTTTTTGGGCTCCCTTTTCCCCCCCCCTTCCCAAAAACCCCCCCGGGC